ATGGGTCTCACTTTTGTAAGAGGGCAAAAACAACATTCATTTGTGAAATATGTGTCTGTGTTCTGCACTGCGGTACATGAATTGTTGTGAGTTATAAAATGGAACACAAATGTCTAACTAATGAACTGCCTATGCAACCCGAAGCATTCCCATTCAATGATCAACCAAAACATTCCATTCCCTACAAATAATGTAGGTCATCAGCTTGCGCTGAATGTAATCCTGAAAAAAAAGGGCTGAAATTATTTAGGCCACTTGTGGTAGCGGTATTTTCTGACATGGCAATTAAGCAGCACATGAAATGCTCCCTATATCTCTAGGCTATGCTGGGATTTTAATAGCGACCGGTCTAAACTGACATGTGGGTGAGTGAACCCTCTGCTCTCACGTGCTTCCTAAAATAGACACTGAAAGCGGGCACTGTTGTTTGGAGCTGTCACTCACCCTTTAGGCAAGAGAAGATGTGCTCACCCCGACCGCCCTCCTGGTGACTGTAGTTTGCACAAAGATAGAGCATGTCAGATGCAATTGCCATGGACACACAGTGGCCATGACATCATTCTGTGCACAAGTGGCCGCTAAGCAGTGTTAAGAGCGAGGGCAAAGGAGAGGAACGTGTGAAAGAGTACACAAACCCTGTGCGCTGTGCATGCTTTGAGCACACAGCGCAAAGACAACATAGGCAATGATGTCAACTCTTTTCCCATGAGGAGCTATGGGAAAAAGTGGGGTGCAGCAGAGTAGCACCCCCCTTTTTCAACATCTCTGGGGCAGGATGCCACATTAATTACTCCGTGGGTCACATCTTTGAAGCTGACATGTTAGAACGTGTGATGTGTGAATAGTTGGAGAAGAAATCGGTGATAGCCGGGGATTTAACATAAAATTGTCTGAAATGCATAATAAAACTACAATAGTGGCTAAAACTCAAATTCAATCAGATTAGTACACAGAACAGTGAATGGTTCATCACATGGCCTTCACTCTTAGTATGATCTGTCATGCTTTTGCGAATATATAAAATACATTGGTTTAAAAAAAACAGTCACTTCAAAATGAGTTTATCAAAAGGGTCCATAGGTTGCATTGTGTCATAGGAGTTGCTTTTCATGGCCCAACATCCTCGACACTCGAGAAACCCTCTGTTGAAACAGGTTGCCCTCTACTGGTGATCTTGAAAACATCAGCTATGAACCCAGATCTCTTCAAGCTGTTGGGCTAAACTAAATTACGTGTAGTGAAACATTTTGTACACCTATGGACATCATATATAAATAACTGTTACATACATAGTTAAAACCGTTTAACTGTTCCCACTTTCAATTCTCTAGCGGTAGTTACCAGAAATATAGAACATACAGAAATAAAGACCGGACATTACTACAAGGTCACGAAAGGCACATAACGGTAACTTGTAACAGTAAGAATAACATTTACAGTCATGTCGTAACCGGTAAAGAAAAAATGAGAGATTTATGCATCAAAAACAAAGGCTTAGTTCTTGTAAGCATGCATATCGTGTGTTTTTATGAAACACAGTAACTGAATACACAGAAATGTGAAATATTGTAGGTGCATTGTTTATAAAGTTAATAATGTCAACTGTTAATTATATTTAACTTTCCACCGTGCAGATTCAAATTTCCAGAGTGGAACAATTTTTCTTGAGTCACTGGACTGTGAACTCGGAATAGAAAGGAATTTTATTTCCTGATCATTTAAGAGAAGAGGCTGGTCTAGTACACCATCCCACTGCTCCAATGTGTTCTTCCGCGCGGAGTCATTCATAATTGTTCTTTTAAGCCTTTTAATCGTGTTGTTTTACTCCCCTCTATCTCTAACAACCCAATGAGTTATGTTACACATTTCTGTTTTAATAATATAACATTTTAAATGGTTTATTGTAACTGTAAACCGAGGATCTAGTTCCTATCTTAAAGAAGTCCCGCCATTTCGAACTGCAGCTCAGCAGGGAGAGTACCAGCTCTTGTCTGTTCATGTCGACGTAATTCACACTCGTAACAATTTTCGCAATACTTGGTAAAAACGTTGTTATTATTGGGCTACATTCTTCCACCTTCACACACAACGAAGGAAGGAAGTTCAACTGAATTCCAGGACGTTCGAGCTTGAACGAAAAAGGCGCTTGTGCTACCTGGCCGGAGCCGACAAAGAAAACAGCCCGTCGGACATTTTTTTCCTATAAACTGTCACACTTAAAAAGGCACGTTGACGACCACCGTCCAGGACACGAAGATTGAGGAGATGGCGAGCTCAGTGGGAAACGTGGCCGACAGTACAGGTTGGTTGCTTTTACCCCGCTAATGTCAGATATGGCAAATAGCAATGATGCCATTATGACAACGACTAGTTATTTTGTCCTTAGGTAATAAGTAATAAATAATAAGGTAATAAGTACACGTGGTTGCTGTGAAAAATATGTAGAATGTGCCCCCCACCTTACATCGTTGCGTTTTCGTCAACAAAGATCGTATGCTACATGTTAGCATTGATATGTAGCTTCTAGCGTTGATGGGTAGTCAATGTTTTTGAAATGGGTATATACCTCAAACTGCTTGGCTAAACGGGTATACTGATAAAAAATAGATAAGTTCATTATGTTCTGATGAACAATATATCATGCTTTTTGTTCGTCAATAGGGCAGCTATTTACTCGTATGATATTCAGACGCGGCTCTATTCTGTCGCAACAAGAAAATGGCTTCCTTCCAATTTAACACTACGATAACTCGCTTGCTACCATTAAAAACGACATTATGGCATATACATAAAGGAGTTCAAAATTACTATAGAGAAATCTGCGTTAGCACATCTGGTTTAGTTAAATGTTTTGGGGTTTTTTTTGTTTGTTTGTTTTGGGGTTTTTTGCTGCGGCAGAATCGTCTGGAAGATAACCACGTAATGGTGGCCATTCAGTGCGCCATTAATTATTTCATAAAACAAGTTAATTCCCTTGTAGTTAAAAACCAATCGACGTAAGTATAATAGGTGGATGAACTTGTTTTACTGCAAATAAATTATCTTCTGACAGGACGACACCCTTCAGTGTTTGTATTCCTGCATGTCAGTCAGCACCTCCTCTGTCTCGCTGTACACCCTGCACCTCGTGCTTTTTTTGCCACACCCAGAATAAACGTAGGCGAATCATATTACCTATGACGATAGCGAAAACGCGATAAACATGATAAATAATTTTAATGTGTGAAACATTTAAATTACAGTTGATCTTGAATCTGTGAATGAATGACGGCCTATATTCCAATCCCCGTTTTTCCTGTCACTGTTTTTATTTTTTAACTGTTTTCATATTTGCTCATGGAAATGTCACAGCAGTTCTTTGCTTCCCGAAATACTGAATTGACATTCACAAGTTTTTCCATTACATTTTCTATCAATTCATCAGCTAAAACTATATCCAGTGATCACCATGGTGGTGCCAAAACAATATATTTTTCATAATTATTTGAATAGAAGTTAGATTTCTGACTCTTCATTTGGCCTACAAAATACATGAAATTATGGCATATTTAAATCCTTGCATCCAACACTTTAAATTAGGTCAATATTCTTGGTAAGTCAGAATGATTTATAAGTTGACCATGTCTACTTTTGATATACTGTATGCTCATTTCCCTTGTTCATATGTGATATCCCAAATCATTTCTACTTTTTCCATCATTTCATCCTTGTTTATTTTGTGTTTTCATTTTTCTGCTTTAATTTCTACCATCACCTCTAACGTGTTGTTTTCCCCCCCTGGGCTGTGTTGGTGCTCCAGAACCGACAAAACGTATGCTTTCCTTCCAAGGGTTGGCTGAGCTGGCGCACCGAGAATATCAGTCAGGGGACTTTGAAGCTGCTGAGCGCCACTGCATGCAGCTGTGGAGACAGGAGCCTGATAACACAGGTGTCCTGCTTCTCCTGTCCTCGATCCACTTCCAGTGCAGAAGACTCGACAGGTGAGGTGTGGGGTTGCTGAGTCAGTACACACTTGGCTTATGGTGTGGCAATGGTGAAGAATGAGGGATCCTCTATGATTAACAAAGCACACAGATGGTCATGGGAAATTGTAAGCAACAACTGTGCTGGAAATGCAGTTGCATGGTTTAGTAAGGTGTTGCTCAGTTTCTATAATTTTAACACTGTTAATTGGCTTTGCATTTGCTTTTCAGGTTTATTGCTGTATTAATTTACTAATGATCTGATTTGAATTGATTGTCATTGTTCTATGTATAATGGATATTAAGAAAAAAACATTTTCACAGCAGGAAAAAAAATGTTTATTTTGAGTATCCTATAATCACAATATTAAGTAACCACCATATTTTCCAAATTAAGCATTTCACCTGAGTATTGGTTGCATCTTTCTATATACAGTACGTAAGGGACACCTGTCTTCATCAGTTCACTTGCATTTATCCACTTGCTCTTTCTTCCTTGCTCCTTCTTGCATTGAGCCACTATAGTGTCATCCTCTCTCTCCACGGTGGTAACCTTTGAAATACCCATTCCAACTTCACAGGTCTGCTCACTTCAGCACATTGGCTATCAAACAGAACCCAATGTTGGCTGAGGCCTACTCCAACCTGGGTAATGTGTACAAGGAGCGTGGGCAACTGCAGGAAGCCATTGAGCACTATCGCCATGCCCTGAGGCTGAAACCAGACTTTATCGATGGATACATCAACTTGGCAGCAGCTCTGGTGGCAGCAGGAGACATGGAGGGAGCAGTGCAGGCATATGTGTCTGCCTTACAGTATAACCCTGTAAGTGTTACCTGTAAATGATGGGAAAGTGACCATGGCAAGTTAAGTATATGAATTTTATTTTGAAAAAAAACATGTTTCCCCTTCAGGACCTATATTGTGTGCGTAGTGACCTGGGAAACTTGCTTAAAGCCCTTGGACGCTTGGAAGAGGCTAAGGTATGTTAGAGTGGGCCGATGGTTTTTTTTTCCTTTTGATTTTTTTTTTTTTTTTTTTTGTTTGTTTTGTTTTTTTTTTTCTCCCCTTCATTGATGTCCTCTTTTCCTTGCCATTTTTGTCACTTTTCACCCTTTGGCCAAATAACTAATGGGAAAGTTTTTTCCTCATTCCAGAAACACTTTAACTACTGGAATATTGGATTGGAAGTCCATCACCAATAGGAAAATTTGGAATTTTTTTTCTCCCCCCTTTTCAAGTTATAAAAAAAACATTTTATTTAGTCACTTTCAAGACAACTTTATTTATTTGACATTTCAGTACATTTATGCTTTAAATATGCACCTCTGCTGCATCCACTCTGTCCCAGTGTCCTCTGCCTTTCCCCAATTTCTACCAATGCTCAGCCCCTCCCCTTTCTGGAAGAAAGACTCAAAGATTAGAAATTTAGGAATTAAGGTTTAAAGTCTATAGAAATTTTAAACTTCAGTCCATGTATTTTCATACAGTTGGCTTCGGAGGGAAAATGCTGGCTCGGTCTTTAAAGAGTACATGAACTGATGAGAAGATAGATCATCTTTGCCGTGCAAAAGATAAGATGGTTTCTAACCTCACCACTATACTCCAACATACTTTTACCAAGTTCCCCATGGCAAGCATTCTGTTGGCTGGAGGTGCGAGTCCTTCATTCCCCGCAAGTGTTTAACTTGTATTTTTCATCTTTTAAAACTTATGTCTGTATTACCTTGGGGGGTTCCTGGGTTAGGTCCATTCTGAAGATTTGGAGTTGTCCCACTGGTTACAGGCCATCTTATTTTGTGCTTGGGGGGGGTAAAGGAGTGGGGAGGAGCATCATAGAGTCACAGCTCTCTTGCTCTGTCGCTCCACCCCCCGCGCGCTAGCAAAGGATTGGTGGAGTTCGCGCCTAGAGCTGTCTTCCTGACCCATCTGCTGTGATGGCATTTAATTCACTGGGAAAATCAGCTAAGAGGATCCTTGCTGTAACATTTAATATCTATTTATTAATAGATATCACTTGTTTAAATGGCTTCTGTAAGATACAGATTGTTTTGTGGGTTAAACATTTTTCACTTGCCTAAAAAGGTTCAAGCAGCGTCAGGCAGACAGCTCATAATCTATTCCACCACCTGCGTCAGATGCTGGGTTAGAAAGATGAAAGTATGCGCAGCAGCAGCAGCGATGACTTCTTTATTTCAGAGCTGTGGAGCCATCTAGATACAAGTAATTAAACCACAGACTTTTCTCCCTACCCCATTGGCCAGGATTCAAGAAAGCAGGCCAGGATAAAGAAATCAAAGTTGACATTTTGTTTTGAAAATGCTAAAACAACAAGCTAAAAGCAATGATGAGTATTTTTCCCTTTCTCTAAAACATGAGATCAGTTCATTTGGGCAAGATCAAGCCAGTAACTGCCCTCCTGTTTGACCTGCAACATAACAAACAGAAATCCTGGCTGTAGTAAGAACAAATTGAACACTTCAAAGCCTTTCTTCCCTCCCTGTTTCCCTTTTAGCTTTTCTTATTTTGTTTTTTTATTTTATTTTATAAAAACATTCATTGCATGAATAAAAACTTATTTAAGAATAATTTGTTTTGTTTGTTGTGATTTGGAAATCCTGTTTGATTTCCATATTTTTTGCAAAAGAATGTATTTTTTTGGAAACTCTACTAATGATCTTGTTTTCTGATTTTGTCTCTTTTGGTTTTCCACAACTGATATTGTTATTTAGAAGGTTTCAGGTGGGTGAAACTATTCCTGCGTAGGTGCCTGGCGGAAAGGAACACTAGGGCAGCCTCAGTCCCCTCCTCTTCTTCCAGCCAGCTGCGGCCGCCACTCTGACAAAGTCCATAAATATGGTAACGGGTTTGTAACTGCCAACAAAAGAAAAACCACCTACTTTATGCTTGAGCTCCTCTTGTCTTGTGGCTTCTTTTGAAGAGCAAATGAAAAAAGAAATAACAAATCAAATTACTGTAAGCACCTCTTAAAATACGCTACACTAATTTCCGAATTCTGTATTGAGTATAAAGAAAACTTTGGAAGCATTTATCGTGAAAAAAACAAGTAAACACCCTCTAACTCTTCTATGTTGGTTATTTTTCCTGTTTTGTTTTGTTTTTTCCTTCTTTATTTGGAGATGCAGCGCTCCGATGATCATGCAGATAGTGCGCTGTGAGTCTGCAGTAGCGCAGGGGCTGCGCAGCGATACCTTCCAAGCTACCAAAACGACGGAAAGCGCAAGCATGCGATCCCTCACCCCTACTCCCTTTGGCCTGTTGGTTGTGGACCTCTCTCCATTATTTATAACTAGCCTAGCTCCCAAATGCCCCGAAATCTCAGATCTTAAATTCTCAACAAAAAGAAACAAAGTAACAAATGTTACATTTTCAAACCTACTTTACTATTCCATCAGAATTTGACTGCCCATGTTTTAAGACCACAAAATGTGTCCATTGGTTGTTTGCCCCCCAATTCTGAGATGATGAATGGGTGCAGAGTGTGTGCCAGTCTGGTGACAGCAGAACTTCTGCTCGGAGTTGTTGGTCTGCAGCTCTCTGATCTGGCCTTTTGGCGAGCGCAGCAGCAAATGCAATGACCTTTGCCAGCGGCATGGTCGCGCAAGCAGCATCATACGGTGAACTGTGGTGATGGTGGCGACAGACACACACCCGGCGCCTGCGTTTGTTGCGCACGCATTACAGGGACCATCATCTATGCCATTTGTCCTTCATCTAAGGTTGTGAGATAATGTCAATATTTTATATTTGATAATCTGATTTTATTTATAGTCTTTGTGCCATATATATTACCGTAGCTAAAATACTACTGTTACAAAAGCACACATTTTTGAGAGTGTGGTCATAACTGCAGGATGAAGGCATTCGTGTGGATGTTGGTTGGATCTGCGCAGCGCAGGAAAAAGCATTGCAGCTTAGCGCGGCAGACTTGTGCGCCAGCGAGCCCATGCTGTAGACTCACTTTTTGCCATTACTGAGAACGGTGACTAATTTTGTTTTCTCTTCCCTTTTTGTTTTTTCTTGCTTTCTCAATCTTCTATTTGTTTTTATTTTGTACTCCCTGTCCTCCCTTCTACAATCCACTCCTCTCCCATTCTACCTCTATTCCTCCTTTCTTGTGGTTTTCATTGTAAACCCGCTGAAGGCCTGTTACCTGAAAGCCATTGAGACTCAGCCCAACTTTGCCGTGGCTTGGAGCAACCTGGGCTGTGTGTTCAATGCCCAGGGAGAAATTTGGCTGGCCATACATCATTTTGAAAAGGTCAGTTGTCTCACAAGAAGTACTTAATACCTACGTAATGTCCCCAGTTACTGATGCCTCAAATGTATAACCTTGTTGTCAATTATCAGGCAGTCACCCTGGATCCAAATTTCCTTGATGCCTACATCAACTTGGGAAATGTTTTGAAAGAAGCCAGAATCTTTGACAGGTGAGTTTAAATCTTCCACTGGAACATTTTGATGAACATAGTGATTGCTAGTTGTGGTTGTAACCTGAGCAGCTTATTTTGTCTTTTATGGATTGTGAATAACTTTGAGGCTAGACTTGCTGTAGTTTTCCATGGACATATTTCAACACTGACCTTTCCTTAGAAGTTTTAACACAGTTGTCCTTGTTCTGATGAATTGTTTTCAGGGCTGTGGCTGGATACCTGAGAGCCCTGAGTCTCAGCCCCAACCATGCTGTTGTTCATGGGAATCTTGCCTGTGTCTACTACGAACAAGGTCTCATTGACTTGGCCATCGACACTTACCGCCGTGCAATCGAACTACAGCCACACTTCCCTGATGCCTACTGCAATTTGGCAAATGCCCTGAAAGAGAAAGGCAACGTAAGGCACCACTCGCACCTCCTCTTGCCTCTGGATTGTTTTGTGAAATTAAGTCTTGTATCTGTTTGAGGTCATTTACTTAGTTTGAACTTTTTTTTCCTAAGGTCTCTGAGGCAGAGGAATGCTACAACACAGCCTTACGCTTGTGTCCCACTCACGCCGACTCACTCAACAACTTGGCCAATATCAAGCGAGAGCAGGGCAACATCGAGGAAGCCGTTCAGCTCTACAGAAAAGCCTTAGAGGTGGGTAAAGATTGGCAAATTTGTTTTTGTTTTCTCTGTATTTAGCTGTTCTTCATTGTTAGGATCTTGTTTTTCATTCAGGTTTTCCCAGAGTTTGCAGCAGCTCATTCTAATCTGGCCAGTGTTCTGCAGCAGCAGGGCAAACTCCAGGAAGCCCTTATGCACTACAAAGAAGCCATCAGGTTTGTCACCTGCTCTTACAGTTAATATTATAGCACATTTTCAAAATTAACACCACAACTAGCTGTGTTGGTTGAAAGATAATTATAATTCAGATGATTGGTTTCATAATCCGCTGTGTAAACATGCTTCGTGTCCTTTAAAAGAATCAGCCCCACCTTCGCTGATGCCTACTCAAACATGGGAAATACACTGAAGGAGATGCAGGATGTGCAAGGAGCACTTCAGTGCTACACCCGTGCCATCCAGATTAACCCTGCCTTTGCTGACGCACACAGCAATTTGGCCTCTATCCACAAGGTTGGGGAAATTTTCATTTAAACACTTAAACAGTATTATATATTAAGTATAATGTAGCTTGAGATTGTTTTTACTAAATTTGACCTAAATTAGTAAAATGATTGGCTTTAATAGTTTATTCTGTTCATCTTTGATGTTCAGGATTCTGGAAACATTCCTGAGGCCATTGCTTCCTACCGCACTGCTTTGAAACTCAAGCCAGATTTCCCAGACGCTTACTGCAACCTGGCACATTGCCTACAGGTATGTAGATGTAAATAATTGTTAACAAATACGTGCTGTTTTAAAGTTGGTCAAAAACAGTCCATTATTTAAGATGTGTTATTTAACTCTCTCCTTTAGATTGTGTGTGACTGGACGGATTACGACGAGCGAATGAAGAAGCTCGTGAGCATCGTGGCTGACCAGCTGGACAAGAACCGTCTGCCCTCCGTTCATCCACACCACAGCATGCTCTACCCTCTCTCGCACGGCTTCCGCAAGGCCATTGCGGAGCGTCATGGAAACCTATGTCTGGACAAGGTACACAAAATGATCAAAGCAAGTAACTTTTAATTCCTTTTTTGGGACATGGATGGTGATGGCAGCTGTTGGCTACTGGCAAATGGGTATGGTAAGAAATTGACGGGAAAAATACACTGCCCACACTTATGGCCCCAACTTGAGCCAATAGTTTTATTAAAGCAACTGATCAGGAGTTCACATCGAGCCCATTACCTTGAATTTTCAAAAGTGCACGCAAGGAACCTGATCTTTTGGTGTGCATATCCTTTGAGTCTAATACTTAGAATGTCCTAGTGGTGACTCCTTTTGATTGGTCAGTGTATTTTCAGACAAAAAGATGGTGAAAGCTGGGTCGCTTGCAGGGAAAATGGATTTATGTGACATTTTTTTTGCAACCAGCAAAATGACTTACCTGTGTACTTAAACCCCAGATCAATGCACTGCACAAACCCCCCTACGAGCATCCCAAAGATCTAAAGGCCAGTGGCGGACGTCTGCGTGTTGGCTATGTCAGTTCTGACTTTGGCAACCACCCAACTTCACATCTCATGCAGTCCATTCCTGGAATGCACAGTCCTGAGAAATTCGAGGTATGAAATTTAAAACAAATTTAAGTCAAGTTTATAGGCATGAACTTTATTAAATGTTTTATATGTGATCATTATTTTTTTTTATTCAGACTTTTAACTCAATTATTGAATGCATTTTGTCCATTTAAGGTCTTCTGCTACGCACTCAGCCCTGATGATAGCACCAACTTCCGTGTCAAAGTGGTGGCAGAGGCTCATCATTTCACAGACCTTTCACAGGTGATATGTTATATTCCAGTCACTCTAGGAGAATTTTTGAAAGTGTTCAAACTTTGGCTTAAGAAACTGCCTCTTCAATCCAGATCCCTTGCAATGGCAAAGCTGCCGATCGTATTCATCAGGATGGAATCCACATTCTGGTCAACATGAATGGATATACCAAAGGTGCAAGAAATGAACTTTTTGCCCTTCGCCCAGCCCCCATTCAGGTAGGCCTAATTTTTCACATATTTCATCTATAAACATTTGAGTTTTAAAATATATTGTGAACACATTGTTTTATAGAAAGGAATACTTTAAAGTTGGTCTCTTAATATTGTACAGACCATGTGGCTGGGTTACCCAGGAACCAGTGGGGCACCCTTCATGGACTACATCATCTCTGACAAAGAGACCTCACCAATGGAAGTGGCTGAGCAGTATTCAGAGAAACTGGCGTACATGCCCCACACTTTCTTCATCGGAGACCACGCCAACATGTTTCCCCACCTCAAGGTCCGGCCCTCTAAAGGCCAAAGATATTTTTCTTTTCTAATAAAAAGAAGTAGATATAGGTTACAACCAGGTTACGCTAACATTACATTTCTTACATTGTTATTCACAGAAAAAGGCAGTGATAGATTTCAAGTCTAATGGACACATCTTTGATAACCGGATTGTTCTCAATGGTATTGATCTGAAAGCCTTCTTAGACAGTCTGCCAGATGTGAAAGTAATAAAGGTAAGTTCTGAAAACAAGGTCATGTTTTTGTGCAGTAAAAAAAAAGAAACAGGTAGTCAAAATGTGACTGTGAATCTGATGTTCAAACCAGATGAAGTGTGACAACAACCAAGACACGGCTGGTGACACGAATGGAGCCCTTTCCATGCCCGTTATTCCGATGAACACTGCAGCTGAAGCCATCATCAACATGATCAACCAGGGTCAAATCCAGGTCACAATCAATGGCTTCACAGTCAGCAATGGCCTGGCCACCACACAGGTATGTTCCACTTTTTTCTAAGCTTGTTCTCATATAGCTTCGGCCCTTAGTTTCAACAAATGCCCATTAAACAAATCTGAGCAGCAAATAAAATTTAGCCTGCTGCCTTCACAGATCTTTTCAGCAGATTCTCAGACTGTGTCCATGCAGGTATGATTTGTTTATCAAAGTAAGGTGCCAGGGTAAAAAAATGATGGTGACGGTGACTGGTGGCACTATGGGTTGGGTTTAAAATTGGCCCTTATGTTCTCTGCTTTGCAGAACTATTTAAGCTAGTTTCAAACAATCACAACCAGTTGAACCGAACCACTGTGGCCATTTCATCGTAAAAGTCCTTTTTATGCCCTCTACAGATTAACAACAAAGCTGCCACTGGTGAAGAGGTGCCACGCACAATTGTTGTGACCACTCGCTCCCAATATGGTCTTCCAGAGGACTCCATCGTCTACTGCAACTTTAACCAGCTCTACAAGATCGATCCCCCTACTCTACAAATGTGGGCAAACGTAAGTCAGACCTGTTTATTTGTATCCTCAACTAAGTGATTGATTATAATCATTATTAATCTTTGAATCACTTTGAAAGCCTTATTAAAAAGTATTACATGTCTTCTGAAGTTGCCAACCCTCTTTTTGATTTTCTGTAGATCCTGAATCGTGTGTCCAACAGTGTGCTGTGGCTCCTGCGGTTCCCTGCAGTAGGGGAGCCCAACATCGTCCAGTATGCTCAGACCATGGGTCTGCCTAGCTCTCGCATCATCTTTTCTCCTGTGGCACCAAAAGAGGAGCACGTGAGGCGTGGTCAGTTGGCTGACGTGTGCCTAGATACTCCTCTGTGCAATGGTCACACTACAGGCATGGATGTTCTCTGGGCCGGAACACCCATGGTCACCATGCCAGGTGAGAACACCAGGATTGTTCATTATTTATCCATTGAACTGTTAAAATGTTCTTCATTTATTTAAACGTCTTTTTTTTTTTTTTTTGGTAAAGGTGAGACCCTCGCTTCTCGTGTGGCAGCTTCACAACTCAACTGTCTCGGCTGCCCTGAACTGATTGCCCAGAGTCGCCAGGACTACGAGGACATAGCTGTCAAACTTGGATCGGACATGGAATTGTGAGTAGACATATTAATGAAACTTTTTTTAAATTAACTATTAATTGTTTCAACCATTTTAACTGATCCTTTTTTTTATGTTTTAGTCTGAAGATGATCAGGGCACGAGTCTGGAAGCAGCGGATCTGCAGTCCCCTGTTCAACACCAAGCAGTACACGACTGACTTGGAGAGACTGTACCTGCAGATGTGGGAGCATCATAGCAATGGCAACAAGCCAGAGCACATGTTTAAATTCCAAACAATCGAGGCCAGTGAGAGTGCGTGAACTGGATGGAAGCATGCCAAATTCTTTTAACTCTCATCCCCGTCGTGTTCAACCCTGGGAACTTTTTCTTTTTTTTTTTTTTAGCTTCGAGCACCCTAGCTTTGAAAATTCAACTTCCAAACTTAATCTCTATATTAGTGTCTAGATTTCTCATCTACTGCTAACAGGAATTTTATTTATGACGGATCTCACATAAGACTTTTGGCCCGTTTCTGTCATCCACGTTTGCATTTTATGAACTCGAGACTTAAGTCCTTACATGCAGTGTGTTTGAGCATGAAAGGATCCTCAGTGCCCTCCCACCCCCCGGCTCAGTACCCCCTCCAAAAAAAAGAAGTGGTTTTTGTTCTTGTCTGTAAATTGGACTAATTGCAGCATGTAGAGAATGCTAATCCGTCTTTATTTTTATTCAGATTCAGTAGGGAGTGTTGTTTTAAAACAGTCGATGCTGCAGCACCAAAATCATTGCTTGGATTTTCACCTCATCCGCTTAAAGATGCAACTATAAAAAGGCAGAGTTCAGCTGCTCTTTGTCCTAAGCTCTTGTTTGATGAGTGCAGGTAGTTTTTTTTTTTTTGTGTGTGCACATTTCGAGTCTGATAAAGACCCGTTACCTTAATGCCAACTTTAATGACTTTCGTCGACAGTGGAGGGATATTTTCTGTATCTGTCGTCCTGTGATGTCTCATTGCTTGTAAGAATTATTAGTTTGGACAAGGCTGGACTTCTGAATCAATGGATTGGGCCTAAAAAAATGTCTTAGATGCAGATTTCCACACTTCAGTCTCCCTTTTTTTTATTTCACAAGATCCAGCCTGGGTAAGTATTTTCTAAGCCGTTTTTGTTTTTGTATATTGTCTGTTTATCGTATGCTGTCGATGATGCCACTAGGCTCTAAATATAATAAAAACAATAAAGAGATGGCAAAGCTGACATGTACTCATTACTGATACAGTAACAGGAACACTCACTTTCCTATAATTAAAGACTCTGGGCTAAAGTTTGCCTGTCACAACAAACATGTCCAACTAAGAAAACAAGGATTTTAGATTTAGATTTTATTGAAACAAAGCAGCAGAAAGTTGCAGCAAAGCCGACACCACGGTACAGTAACTTTGCCGAATGACGCCTGTCCTGATTGTGGATTATTGTGCGGCCCTACTTCTGGTAGATCTCTCAACCGGTAAACTCACTACAAAGAGTTGAGGCCCGAGCTCTTTGCCTTCGCGGGGGCTCAGGTCCACAGAGCTGGTAGTGGGTTTTCCATGGTGCAGGTTCATGATGGCTTGACTGAAAGGGTAGTAGTTGTTGATTTTTTTTATTTTTTCTCTCTTGGACTCCGTCGTGCTCAAGGGCACTTCGGACATGTCTGACGTGTCCTCGTCCTCAATTTTTGGTTCTTGTCTTTTTATTGACCAACGAATGTCTGAAAATGAATCGCGAATTGCTGAAATCCACCTTCTATAAACAAGCATAATGTACATTTTTTGGTAATTTATTTTCTGTGGTGACATTACTGGAACTCACCTGAACTTCTATAAACCTCTGATCTGACAGAAGTTTCTTCTCTCCTCTTGTGAACTGGATGCTTTAGAAGTATTAACATCATAGTTTATTATCACAGTCTGGATTACACATTACATCACACAGAGTATCTTGACACCTTATTACTGTATAACGTCCACCAATGTCTCTGTGACTTACTATGGTTGTAGAGCTCTGTCGTTTTATCTTCTCATCCAGCTCGTAGTAGCTCAACTCTAAAAGCCTGGCAGCCTCAGTCGGAAGAAGGGCCAGTCCCTCAGTTTGAACCATTTTGCATTCGCTGCCTGTAAAAACATCATATTTTAGTTCGATCCCTGCTCTGTCATAACACTTTGCATGGTTTTTTTAAATGTAATATTCACCTCTTTTGGCTGCTTCTTTAATGAAAAGGTTTAAGTAATTGTGGCTTTCTTCTAGCTTTTTTGTTTTTTCCTGTAAAAGTAAAACAGCGGATGAATAAGTGGTTCATTATGGTTTTTTTTCCAAAAGTGGTTCATTATGGGTTTCTTTTAAAATCAGACTCGAACAACGCAAAACACGTCTTGACGTTACCTCAGTTTCCTTAGAAAGCTGTTCGAGCTGTTCTTGTAGATAGGAGGTGAAGTTTCTCTCCTCCTCTAGCTTCCTCTGCTCATTAACCACCTGGTGGCCATAATGGGTTTCACACAGCTGAAGATTCTTCTCCAAGTCCTGGAGGAAGGAAAATGAATTAAATCAAATCATAAAAACATATGTTGTTATATTTAACACATTATTATCAGCCAATAATTTGTTGTATTCCTCAGGGTGTTGATGGACATTAACTAATAACAGATTCTTAAATTGATTGGTTTTTACTATTATAATTACCATTTAAAACAGTGTAATTCATTTTTAAATTACAAAAATACAAACTGCAAAAGTTGGCAAAAAACCTAAATACATACTTTAATATTTAGTCACTTGCTTTATCAGACCAGGAAAATTTTTAATGTTTGTTAATTATAATATTATATTATTGTCCATTCTTACTACATTATACTTGAACTGATCAACATGGCATAACTGTTGTGTGATTATTTTAATTAAGATAATATCTTCATATTTAAATCAAATGTAGAGAATCAGAAACTCGTTTTGAAACATGTTTTCCAGGTGGAGGCCAGGAAACAGGCCATCTTGTGTGAGTGAACAGGTCCAGAACACTGGCTGACTTCCAGAGCAAGGATGTGCAAAAAAAAAAACACGTGCCCTCAGCAGTTTTCTATTGTCAAAAATAACCTTCAGGTGGTCCACACAGTACTCACCTGTATCTTCTTATCCTTCTCCTTCAGGTCCTCGCTGGTCTGGGCCAACCTGTGGGTGAGCTCTTCTCTCTCCAGCAGACTGTGGTCCTTGCTGAACTGCTCCAAGTTCTTTAGAGTTCCCTTCATGTCCAGCAGCTTGTGCTCCGTTTTTTTGAGCTGCTTTACCAGGTTATTACGGCGGCCGTGGGTGTCGTGGAGCATGATCTTCAGAACCTGGATGTGACGTCTGTGCTTGGTAAGAGTCTGGGAAGGGTGAAGACGCACAAAAAAGAAATTATATGAGCTGCAGTGAGAGATAAGTGATTTAGTGATGATGTTTTTGTTTATTTTGAGCAGAAAGATTAGGACACCCAACCGACCGACCAACCTCTGTAATGCTGCTTTGTACTGCTTCAAAGTGCTGCAGTGCGACCTTGTGATGATGCTGGAGCTTAGTCATCATTTGATTCTCATTCAGGACTTCTGTCAGTCTCTGCTGCAGTTCACACACATCGTTTTTCAAGACAGTGGTGCAGCGGTCATCATCCGGCATCCTCACTAAGGATAACTGAAGAGGCTGATATTTGACAGTCTTTTGTTTCTTTTTACCTGAAAAAAAAACCAAACAAATACATTTATATTTGAAATTTTTATAGACATTCTTTTGGAACATTTTTTTGTGACTTGTGTATTTTTAACTTCCACCCTGACCATACAGGCCTTGTCTGATTACGAACCTCTCTTTCTCCCAGGCGTTTTAAAACTCTGCCAGGTGTCTGTTGATGAAGAGTCATCATCTTGTACTTTACCATCACCAGAGTTGTGCACACTGGACAACAACAACCTGGAGAGTTCAGCGTTGCAGTTTGCATCACTATCGTCGTCCTCGTCATCACCATAACTGTTCTCCCCCTGATCCTGTTCTTCCTCCTTCTTTATCTTCGACTCTTCCTGCTCCTCCGCCTCATTTTTCTTCTCTGTGTCGTCTTCGTTTACATTCTCACATTCAATCTCCTCCTTTATGTCCTCCTTAACTTCCTCATCAAATTCCTCATTCTTTTCATCTACATCCTCCTCCTTCACGTTGACTTTTTCACCCACATTCTCCTCCTCATCATTATGTGCGTTCCCCTGCTGCAGATTGAGGGCAGTTTCACAACTCTCTTCTTTTGCAGGCTTTTCCTCTGCAGCTGGGGAAAAAAAAAATATAGATTTTTTTTTTACAGAAAATATTTCAAAACAAAACAAAAGACCAAAATATGCAAACATCGCCTTATCTTTTTTTAATTTTTTTTTTTAGATAATTCAAATTATACATTTTCTCTGCAGTACTGTTCACAGGACTTTAGCCTAACCTGTTTCTTGCTCTCGATAGGAGCTCTCTCTGTTCTGTTCTTGCTCCATACTCAAGAATAGACAGGGCTCCTGTACGTTTTTGCCTTGGTGCGTTATGGTAGCATATTTCTGCAAAGTTGCTCACAACGTTCTTCATGACTTTATCCCCTCCTGTTCACTGGACGACTGACAGTGCCATATTGTCTAGGCCTAAAATGAAATGATTTCTTCCTTTGAACTGCTGTGATGTCATAAGTTCCAAAGTCAAAGTGATGTCATATATCTGACATCATGTGACATTGGTGAGAAACCAAGATGAAGAGCACTAGATTTAACAGTTTTAATATTTAATAAATAAATATGTATAATAAAAACAACAAAACCACTTATTTATTATTGTCTTATGTCAGAACAACTATTTGTATGCAGCAATCTTGTAAAAATGTAATAAATATAATTTATATAGCCAAATCTCCTTTATACGTGCTTTTGGTGAACAGATTTATAGAGGAAATGCTGTTATCATTCTGGATGTGTCTATCTTTTCAAAAAGGTTTTAAATGTTTTATTCTTATGGTATTTTCATCAAGATTCCTCATTTAATTCGTTTTTCTTAGGTCTGTGGTCAAATGTATTCAAAATAAAAAGATTTGAGCGGCCAACGTCACACACTTAACAATAAAAATACTAATAATACTTAAAAAACATTTCCACGGCTGCTCATATGTGGGCGCTATTCTTTCTAGAACCGTTACTTAAACGTCACGTGAATATAAAGCCCGCTCTAATTGGTCAAATTGCGAGACGACAACTTCCGGTGCGGATGAGTGGAAAATTTGAATTCCCTTCGTCTCCGCCAGGCGTTTTCAAAATAACCCTCGTCCTCTTATTTTTTTTCTTCGAAACCAGGGTTAGTAACAGAATATTACATTTGATGCACTTAATAAGAATATATATTTATGTGTTAACGTCGTCCTTTAAGTAAAACATTATGAAATTGCCTCTTCAAGCCGAGTTAAAGACAGTGTGGTTACATTAACTAGCTTTAGTTAGCCGTTCTGTTTATGTTGACGTTGGTATTTTTATTGATTGATTATGTAGTAGCTAATTAAAGCTGATTGATATCACTCTCTATGCCCGAAACACATTACACACAAAATCTGACTTTTGTATCGGTCCGGAAGTTTAAATGTTAAATGTCCGTCAGCGCTGATATTTGTTCTCTATCACCGAAAGGAAGAACAGAAGCTATGAATGATGACAACCGCACGTTATTTGATCGAGTTGCTGCGAAAATGGGCTGGAAAGACCACGGAGGACTGGACCGAGCAGAAAATAAGGTTAGTTTCATCCTTTGCCCATCTATGAACAAATATTTTTTGCAGATATATATTTTATGAGGGGAAAAAGTTTATTCCTTTGAGATGCTGAACTACTTTTCTTAAATTATGTTTACAATTTATCTACCTTTTTTTAAAATTACAGCTGATGAACACAATTGGTAAAAGTCGTCGGGATGGAATTAGTGGACACCGACCCGTGGATTCATCAGAGGATTTGAAGAAACTCCTTTGTCTCTCTGAAAGTGAAGATGAGGCAGAGAAGGAGAACCTGTGCTCTCAAGGCAGCGGCTACAGAAACAAAGCTTTGACTGAATCCAGCGATGATGACTTTGACCAGTGTGAGTTATCTCATACAAATGTTAACATGTATTTTATATCATAAATTACTTCAATTCCAACCACTTTATGCTGTTTTTTTATCTTTAGTTCTTGTGGCAAAAGCTACACCGAGAGGGAAACCTGCTGCACAGAAGAGCTGTAGCACTAAAAAGAAGGAAAAGTATGAAAGTGAAGTTTAAGAGTGATGTTTTTAATGAGTTAAAGTTTTTCATTCACATTAAATTAACTGTGCGTCATAACAGTTTAACTTGTGTCTTTTGTCTTCCAGTTCACCAGTTGTGGTGAGTTCAGATGCGGACAGCAGTTTTGAAAAATGTAAGTGGACATTTTCTAATAATTAAAGATATAATTTATCATGTGTTGACACTAAAGGAGAAAAGTTGGTGCTTAATTCACACCCAATTCATTCTCTTCTATGGTAGTTCTGCAACGTGTGAAAACCCCAAATGCCAAACCTAAGAAAATGTCAGAGTGTGGCAGTGAAGACAGGTGAGAGTGAGTGCGTTTTTGTGTCATTTCAATGAACATAAGCTTTTACTAATCTGACCTTTGTTTATCTCTGAAGCTTAAAACACTTCATTGTGGATGACTGCTCTTCAGATGATGACTTTGTGGACACAAAAATAACTGTTAAAGGTACGGACTTAAAATAACCCCCTGTTGAAGTATAACTAAAAATAAGAACAACACCAAAGTGAATGTGATTATAGCTGATGTTTTCTTTGTGCTTCAGCTCCAAGAAAAGTCACCACTCCAGCTGCTCGACCGCCACAGAGGAAACCACTGTCTCAGTTGGACTGTCCAGTCTTTCTCGGTGACAGTGATGATGATGATGATGATGATAATGTTGTGATCAAGAGCACTTGGAGAAACCGTCACTCCAAGCCTAAAACCTCAGCTAAAAACAGAAGTGGTAATGCAGTGCAGTCTGATAAAGATGAAGACTCGCCATCGCTGCCCTTTCTTTCTGCCCCGTCGCCATTTTCTTTCAAAAACCCACCGTCTCCCAAACAGACTTACTCAGCACCTCCTATACTGGAAAACCTCAGCAGTTCTGAGGACGAATTCACATCCTTGCTGGAGAGGTTAAAAAAGAAAAACAAAATCCCCAGCAACACATTCTCACCAAAAACTGTCAAAGGTAAGTGATTTACAAAACACTGCCATTCTGTTTAACCTACTTTGCTACAAAAGCGCAACTCTGATTGGCTGCACTGTAATTTTATTTTTTATCAACAATTAACGCTCAAATATTCACAATGTTGGTTCATTTTTGTGTTGCGTTTCAACCTCCGACCACACTTAATCAACACAATTCCATAGTTTTGAATTTGATTTGAGGCTTTTAGAGCAAAACCAATGCAATGGACTAATTTAGATAAATAAGTGAAATGAATTGTCATTTAAACCCAAGACATAGACTGTCACATGACAGATAAAAGTACAATGACGTCCCTTGAGTTTATGGCAGTTGGAATTCTTTTGTAGCATCACTGCCAGCACACACGCCTCGCTGTGTGTGGCAATGAACAAATTAGGGAAATACACACAGAAAATAATCATAACAGAGTATCCTTGTAACTGATGAAAAAAAATTAAAGAGGCTCAAACATATGTGTTTGTTGTGGACCGCTGTGTCCATTGTGCGTTACATTAATGGGACATGAATCTCCCCTCATTTTGGAGCCACTGTCATACCTGCTCTTAGGCCTGACGGTGACCGTTTCCTTCTTTTTCGTGTCTTTGTCTCAATCATCAGAGGAAACGCCGCAGCATGTGAAGACGCCAGTAAAGTCCAACCCACTGAAGCCTACAGTCAGTCAGACAGAGCCCAGACATGGACCCAGCAGCAGGTAGCATGTCCTGACAGGTCTATTTGATGTGGTCCAATCATTTGATGTTTTTCATATTCGTCCGTTTTCTTGCAGGTTCGTGACGTGTAAAACTCCAGGCTGCTTCTTGGAGTCGCTCTCTCAACCTGGCTCCAGCTACAGCCAAAAATTTAAGCAGAATAAGGAAGACCTCACGGCCAAACTCTACCAGCTGTACAACACCACCGTGTTTGACAACAAGGTGATGGCTGAACATTTTCTTCTTTGTTTTTACTATTTTGTTTAAATGAACATCTGTGTGCATATATTTTTTTTTTTTTACATTTTGTTTGTGGTTGTAGCTTCCTTCTGACATGTCAGTGACCTGGAACAAGAAAATGCGTAAAACAGCTGGTTACTGCGTCACAGGGCAAGAGCGAGGCGGTGGCAGTCGCTACGCTCGCATCGAACTGTCAGTGAAAGTCTGCGATTCTGCAGGTATTTCCACAGAAAATAGTTTTGCTGAGAATGGTTGGAATCCATTGTGGGTTGTATTTACATTAGTAGTGTCATATGATTTAAAAATAGTCCAATATAGTTAGAGAACAAACAAACGTAAGCACTGCACTGCCACCTACTGGACTGGAGTGTGTGAGTCAGCAGTACTAGTGTGTAAGTTAGGGATATTTTTTAACTTTGTTTTTCTGTGATGATTTAATCAAATTAATGTGGCAAGGATCCAACATTTTGCTCCTGTATTTGTCTTCCTTCTAGATCGTCTCAGGGACACGTTGATTCACGAGATGTGTCACGCTGCAACCTGGCTTATTAATTCTGTAAGGGACGGACATGGAAGTTTCTGGAAATTGTACGCTCGCAAATCCACAGTGGTGCATCCAGAGCTGCCCATGGTCACTCGCTGCCACAGTTACGACATAAAATACAAATTCCAGTATCAGTGCACTCGCTGCAAGAACACGTACGTTGTCTTAGCCTCCTCACTCCTGCTCAGCGCATCCACATTTTCCCTGATTTTTTTCTTGCTTATTTACTGTGTTTTATTGACTCTTTCAACCACAGCATCGGCCGTCATTCCAAGTCACTGGACACACAGAGGTTCGTCTGTGCCCTCTGCAAAGGCTACTTTGTTTTGATGACTCCTTCCAAGCCACGTGCTCTCACAGTTTTTGCCAGTTTTGTCAAGGAGAATTACGGGAATGTGAAGCAGGAGATGGCCGGACAGAGCCATGCGGAGGTGATGCGTAAACTCAGCGCAGACTTTGCCTCCAAGACTAAACTCAGTCAGAGCTGAGACAGTGTTGGCACAGGGAATCAGGTCCATATTCTGAAGATACCTCCATCAACCTGACTGCTGTCAGGTGGCAGCTGTTTGGATTTGAATGTGGAAAATGTGGAAATTCTGTCTTACTCTAAATGTTGGATTGTTATGTGGCGTTTTGTGAACTTGTTGTTTTGTCATGTTCGTGTTTTTTTTAAATATTTGACCTTTTGATATAAAATAAAAATAATAAATGCAAACTGTGACCATTTTCTGCATGGACTCATTAAAGGTAAACCTTAAGGTTGTTTTTCAACAATTATCATAAGGAAAGTAAAATGTAAAATACATTAAAAAATAAACTATAATCAATATTTATATTGAAGACATACTTTTGAGCTAATATAAATCTTGACTTGCAAACAGGATTGTTTTAAAAAAAATGTTTTGAAATGGTGATTAAGCAAACAATGATAACAATGCTTAAACGGATTACACTTCCAAAAGAAGTAAATGCTTCAATATATTTAATTTGTCTCTCAGATGTAAATATGTTGTAAATCCTAATTCACAATACAAAATGATCAAGAATACATCAGAGGGGTGCACAACTAAAGGCTAAACGTTAGAAGCAACAGGCACAAAACAACAGGCAGCACTGAGATGTCGATCAATAAGAAAAAAAACAAGAAAGTTTGTGCCAGTATAAATCAAGTATCCTTCAGAGGTAAACATTTATATATTGGAATGTACTGAGTCGCTGCACTGACACAGACAACAAACCATATACAGCGTTTTGCCTTATGGGTGAATTTGCAGCATTTTAAACAAGGGAATCGACCCTTGGGATTTTTGGCAAATGTTAGTTTAAACGATGCAATTGAACGGTAAATATGCTTTTTGATGTTTGAAATCTGTAAATGTCTTTGCATGGCACAACCTGAAACTGAAAATATAAAAGGGCTGTCAAAATTAATGTTTTTTTTTTTAATCAATCAGATTACATTTTTCAATGTATTTTATATTTGTCTTTTTGATTAAACAATCAACAGAACATTTTTGGTCATATTTGTCATGTTATATGATATTTAGATTTCTCTTGATTAATCATGATTAATTGTGATTGATTGTGTGATCACATTGATTAATTGTAGTTCGATTATGTGTGATCACAATGATTAATTGTAGTTGATTATTTTTTATGATGATCAAAATGTTAATGGTTTGACAGCCCTTGTGCTAATGTGAGAATTGCTAAGGAACTAATTTCACATAAGAGCAGCATTACATGTAAAACCACCGCTGTTCTCCGTAGCACCACTCCTCCCTCCCCTCAGTACAGACAGGTCTTCTTCATGATGCGCAGGAACTCCTGCTGGTTCACTTCTCCATCCCCGTCCCTGTCGGCCTCATCGATCATTTCCTTCACAAACAACGGTTATTAGTGACTTTTTGAATGAGGAACGATCAAGCAGATGAAGCTGGACTATAAATATAAAATATACATGAATTCTGCTTTATTACTTTCATTCTTGTAGTTTTACCTGCAGCTCTTCATCAGTCAGGTTCTCTCCCAGCTCTTTGGCCACTCTCTTCAAATTCTTGAAGGAGATCCTTCCAGTCTCATCATCGTCAAACAGCCTGAACGCTTTCAGGATCTCCTCTTTAGAGTCTTTCTCAGCCTAGAGGACAGCAGAAGAACTGTCATGTCTCACAACATGAGATTCTGGGCGACATAGTGGAAGAGTGGTCGAGGCTCTTGCCTTACAGCAAAAAAGTCAATGATTTGATCAAAGCTCAGGTAAATTACCAAAGTACACATTGTAGCACCTGTTGCATTTTTACTACCAACTATTTCGGCAATTGGATTTATATTAGTACCATTTTCTGTGTCATCACACTGAGGAAGTCAGCAAAAGAGATCTTCCCTGTGCCGTCTTTATCCACCTCGCTAATCATTTTCTTGATCTCCTCTTTCTTTGGTTCGAAGCCCAGAGCTCTCATCGCCACCTGGAAAAAAAAAGAAGCACAATGATGGGAACTCACACACAGGGGAAGGTTTTTCTTTTCTATATCACACATGTTGATTAGTTTATTGATTTAAAAAACACAAAAAAAAAACCTTGAGCTCTTTGACATCAATGTATCCAGAGCCATCTGTGTCGAACAGCTCAAAGGCCTCCTTGATCTCCTGCTTCTGCTCCTCAGTCAGCTCTGGTTTGGGTGCTGTCTTCTTGCGAGGAGGAGGCACCGGGCCCTGCAGGGACGGTCTCTTGGCACTGGTCGCCTGTCGAAGAAGACGTTCAAGATTAAACACCGCCTTGTTTGCATCAGTATCAAATACCTCGCCAAGTAAGGAATATATTTTCTCCATCAAGACAAGAGAACAGTGTATACAACAACCGTAGCATGACAACGCAGTGAAAGGCTTTCAGAAGAGAACTGAGCATTTGACTCACCATTAGTTACTGCGAATTTGATTGACCAAAAAAGAAATAGAGCTGCAAATCTATTAAACAATCAATGTTTTCCTCTGGGCGACGAGCGCTTTCTCTGACAGAGGGAGGACGAGCAGGGAGAAAAAACAGCCCCCCCTTCACATCAGTTGTCCTTCATCGGAGCACGGTGCTGTGTCCAGGTATACTTCTTATTCTGTCAAATAAAACCTGACGTTTATTTAAAATTTATACGGTAAATAAACGTGACAAAAACAAATTATCGTCCTTTGCTAAACGGTATGCACAGGTTCGGATGCTCGATGATTGGGTGTTTGATTTGTTTACCCTTTGTGCCCTCAAGAAGAGATGGCGTTGTATCTCCGCCCGTGTAACTTACAAGGAGCGAGAACGGTACAAAGCTAAATAAAATCAAGCGCACCAGTCGGGCAACAATACGATTGGTTGCTGCAAAAACCCAGGGACGCGCGACACTATAAAAACGCTAAACTAAGAGTATAGAAAAAAAAAGAACCTTTGTGGAATACGTATATTAGATCAGATTAAATTCGATTAGAATAAAGAAATATCTATTTCCAGTTATAGTAATACATTCTCATACGAATATAAATGTTCTATTTTTTTCATTTTTTATATGTCCTTTATTTTTTCTTAAAAATACAAATTGAGTAATAAAGCTTGGAACTTTAGACTGTTTACCGTCTGTCCGTTTTCTTTTAAAACTGAATTGATAAAGCATGGTATAACCATTTGGATCAAACAATTTTTAATTCAATATAAAAATATTAGTTTTTTTCCTATGCACAGCAACAGCGGCTTGGGACTGTCTGTCAACTGTGCAAAAGTACAAATGTATTGTGATGAATAAATTATTAAACAGAATCAAACACATTTAACTACAGGCCTTGGCATTAGCATTTATAGATATTAATGGAGACGAATTTTGTGTGTTGAAAGTGTGTATTAAAATCGAATCAAAGTGATTTGTGGAGGCACGGCCTGTAAATGGGAGGAGAATGACGTAGAACCAAGTTGTTCTCGCTGATTGGTTAAGGTTGTGGTGTTCCTTGACGTAAAGAAACACGATTGGTTATTTGTCGACGTCAGACGCGAGCAGAGCACCAGCTCCACCAATCACAGAGCTGCTTTCGCTGAGCCGATTCCTCCGCTTCAGGGTTTGTTTAAACTGGGTTGGTGGTAAACTGAGTTCCTCTGACTACAGGTAGGAAGTTCAGTTTCGAGTTTTACACTAAAATTCAGCCGTGTAAAAGCAGATTTATTTGTTCATTGTACCCTTTACCACCATAGCTTCCGGTCTTGTCATTTTATCTACGTATTGATCAAACCGCATTCCTAATGGCTACGCGACTTAGACCGGTGAGTTACTCCTATATGTCTATGTGGGCCAACCTGTAATTAATGAACCTTGTAAACAGTTAAAACTGTATCTGCAACTCTGTATTATTTTATATTAAATATTTTTACGTGTTTACTGTTTGTTCAATTAGGAAGAATTCAATAAACTAAGTGTGTGTGGTGCTGACAGAATATCCGCACGTTACTGATGGCAGTCTTATGTTTCTGGTGTCATGCAGAGTAACAAGCGCTGTACAGTCATTGGAGGCTCTGGTTTCCTGGGAAGACACCTGGTGGAGAAGCTGCTGGAGAGGGGCTACTCGGTGTCTGTGTTTGACATTCGTCAAAGCTATGAGCTGCCTGGAGTCACCTTTTACCAGGGAGATCTTTGTGACAAACGGGTACTAAAAGGGACACTAGAAATGTTAACCAATCGATGCATTACTAATGCAACTAACATTAAATATCACCTGATGTGATTCAGTTCATTCTTAAGGTAGTGGTCCCCAACTACTGGGCCGGGACCCAGTACCGGCTCTGGATCATTTGTTATTGGGTCGCAGAAACAGAAGAAAATGTTTTATTTTTTGAATGTTTTCATATACAATTGTCTGCTTCCACCTGCACATCTTCTTCTTCTCAACACTTGATTCAGTTGCAGTTTTTTTTCCAAACAAATGTCAACTGGAGTCCATGGTGGTTGGGGACCACTGCTGTGTAAGACGTATTGGCAAAGTCAGCATAGTCAGTGGTTTAACTGTGACCTACTCATTTGTAGTTTGATCTGCTGTGAGCTACAGTCTCTTCATCATTGTGCCGCAGACTCTGTTGCCAGCCCTGCAGGACGTGTCCCTGGTCTTCCACTGTGCCTCCCCAGCGCCTGGCAGTGATAACCGTGAACTGTTTGAGAGAGTCAACATCCTGGGCACACGCACTGTTATTGAAGCCTGTGTCGAGGCTGGAGTACAGGTGAGGAATCCAGAGGATCAAAGACTGTGCTGTTTGAAACGCATGTTAATTCATTTCATTTTTTTGAGTGGCCATGATATTTAAAGGCCTTTGCCTTTGACAGAAATTGGTTCTAACAAGCAGCGCCAGTGTAGTCTTTGAAGGGACGGACATCAAAAATGGAAGAGAGGACCTGCCGTATGCTAAGAAGCCAATTGACTACTACACACAGACCAAAATTGAACAGGAAAAGGTAGGAAACTGATTCATAGTGCATTGGATTAGTTTCTTTAGACCTTCACAACATCATGAAGCGTTGATTATACTTTCTCTGGGCATTTTCTTTGTTTCTTATGTTTTAAAAAAACACAGCTTTGTGCCTTTCTGCTAAAAGTGAAGAAAACAAATATAATCTAATTAGTCTTTGTTTTAGTTGGTCCTCGCAGCCTGTGACACGGAGAAGAACTTTCTCACAGTTGCCATCCGGCCTCATGGCATCTTTGGCCCCCGAGACCCACAGTTGGTTCCCATCCTGGTGGACACAGCTCGCAGGGGCAAGATGAAGTTCATCATCGGGTATGTTTTACATCAACATACAGTTTCCTATCCGTGTCTGTTTATTTGTATTAGACATAAGGTCATCTAAACAGTCAGAATCAGAAGTGCTTTTTGGCTCAAAAAACATACAACAAGGTAAGAAATAGAAAATATAGCAAAAACAAGATAGATAAATTATGACAAGTTCTATATATAGTTTACTGGTAAGATATAATCATTATGACAAGTTCTATATATAGTTTACATAGTATAAGTGTAAAGTTGCCAGGTTTAAAGTACTTAAACCTGGCAACTTTTATATACATATACATAATTAATATATACATATAATGTTTTGTATATGTATATATTAATCACTGCAATGTGCAATACATTATATTTTTTAAATGGAGAAAATATTGACCTTATTACATTGTGAAGATCCAACACGGATTAAATTAAACTAATGCAACACATTAACCACATTAAAAATAATAATAATATCGCTAAAATTTCCAAAAGTTGTACAGATTAATTAAAGTTGTCGGATTATTGCACAAAATGTGACCGGGAAATTATTGCGCCAGTGTCAAAGGGAGGGGTTAATGAGACTGATGGACACGGGCTGGAATGACTTCCTGTGGAGCTAATGCTAAAGGTGCTCCTGCGTGGATGTTGTTTTTAGAAAGTCAGATGTTGTGTTTTAATGTTCCCCACAGATAGTTACAGTCAATATATACAGTTGTTTTCTGCGGCACATTACTATGTGAGATATCTTCATATTTGTCTCTAGTGATGGGACAAACTTGGTGGATTTTACTTTTGTTGAGAACGTCGTTCATGGACACATCTTAGCTGCTGAACACCTGAGGCCCAGCTCACCCATATGTGGAAAGGTGAGTTAAATAATTACACTTATTTGTACTGTAGATGAACGTGTGGTATTTTCCTGTCAATGGATGCAGTGAAAAGCTAAAAAAAAAACAAGAACGAACTTTTGCTCGAGGAAAACTATTTTTATTTACACAATAACCTATAAAAAATCGACCATATTTATTCACGTAACGGGTTCCGTTTTTCCCGCATATATTTATCCTCGGTGTCGCTTCTAGATAATTCCATCAACTACACAGGTAAATAATGCAGACTCTTCGGTTGTGCTGACGTCATAATCGCCGTCTCATTAGTTCCAGTTAGTCCGTTAGTTTCTTTTCCGCTGCTCGAATATTGTTGTTTTGGCCGCATACTTTATTTAATATGTGCAGTAAAAGCTTTTCCGTCTTTTGTCTCATTGTATTTGTATGTTTTATTGATGTCTTTATGGCTCAGTCGTGTTTTTTAAGCTTCAGTTGCCACGAGTGTAGACAATGCCCTCTTGTGGTCATAGATAATAAAACATACATTTGTGACGTAAAAGTCTGCAGTTGAAGTCCTAATGAAAAAAAGTGACGTAGGCTCCAGAGAAAACGGTATCTCTCTGCGCTTTATTAATTACTTACTTAACTTTATTTATTATTTATTGATTTAAAAAAATGATTTATCATTTGCTTCATCGCTCAGCCCTATCACATCACTAATGACGAGCCAGTGAGATTCTGGGACTTCATGTCCGAGGTGCTGATGGGTCTGGGATATGCTGCTCCACGTTACCACCTCCCATACACCCTCGTGTATGGTCTGGCTCTCCTCCTCTGGCTACTGGCTCTCGTGCTCCGTCCACTGGTGTCATTCAAACCCACATTTACCCCAATGAGAGTGGCACTGGCTGGAACTCACCACTACTATAGCTGCGAACGTGCCAAGCAGGACATGGGCTACAAACCTGTCATCGGTCTAAAGGAGGGCATCACCCTGACTGTGCAGAGCTACCCTCATCTCAGAAGAGGGGCTTGATGAAGACGAGAGAAGCTGAGGAATGAAGATGAAGACGGCAGAAACTTGTAATGCTGAACTGTGCCAGCAGGGAGTTGGGTGATAAGGGTGACAAAAATCGGAGGAAGAAAGTTGCTCTTTCTCCAAACTTCACCAATATTTGCAACGACTGAACGGTTTTGACCAGCAGATGGCAGCAGAGATCCGTCCCAATTTTGGTTGAAGAGCTGTACTTTAATAAACTACCCTGCTGCAGAAAGGTCACACCTGGGTTTATCAAAGCAAATATTTAATAATCTTCCAGTTGATAATTACTCATAATTACTCCAGTGATGAATATACTCAGCTTCACAACCGGTTTGTACCTGTACTGAGGCAGAGCGTGGCCTCGTATTTCTTGTACCGTCATCAAAAAGGCCAGATTTATTGACCTTGTTTATTAAAATTACTGAAATTGGATTAAAATGTGTAAAACTTTGAAAATCTAAAAATAATTTATTGTGAGTTATTATTTGTTTGAGTAAAAAAAAACTAAATCAACTGTGTGTAGCCAACAGCGGTTTTACTGCTGTGTCTAATAGTGAAGGCCTGCACAGTTCCCCTTGATCATTGTTGAGAAAAAAAAAAAAGGGATTAAAGCTGCACAGCCTCGGGAAACGTGAGTCTAATCAGTTTAGTTCTGAGTCTAAAGATTAGAATGTGGATCGATGGGAAAAGGTCAGGTGCTGTGATGATTCCATCGGAGTAAGTGGAGGGGCGGTCAAAGTCGAGAACGTCAGGTGTTTAGAGGTGGACGTGCACCAGCGACATTTTGTTCCTGGAAAATTAGGTCATTATCGCTGTCATTAGTTGGCTATCACTGCTAATGACGTTTCTCTGATGACAGCCCCTGGTCCAGTGCTTACAGGATTGGGTTAGTAATAGGAGAAATGCTGGTTCCTGCTCAAGAACTCCCCTTGCTCCCTAAGCGCGTTAGAAAGGCCAGGAGTGTGTGTCCGTTGTTGATCACTGGAGTTTCACAGATGGACTGACGCATGCAGTCGTTCTACATTAACACAGACCTGAAAAACTGGTTCAATCCAAATATGGCAGTGCCAGAACTTTTCAGGTGAACATGTGGGGGAGTGATTCTGGCAGCATGTGGACTGGCCCACTCACCAACGGAGGTAAGATTTCAACTTTGTCAGTTGTGAACATTTATAACATGTACTGTATGTTGGGGTCTCACTCTCTGGGTCATGACTACAGAATCATAACAGTGGGTGAAACTAGTTTATTATATGAGCAGAAATCCAGGTATTAGATCAAACCATACACTCACTGCAGGACTGACAAAATTGTCAAATGGATTTTGACAAACTGTAGACTGATTAACAATGAACTTCACCATTTTATCCTGGGGTCCGCCCCCCACTTTGGAAACCACTGACTTTGACTTAATTGTTCACTCTAAAATGACTCTAGGTGTGAATGGGTGTGTGAATGGTCCATTGTCTCCCTGTGATGGACCTTTGATCCAGGGTGTAACTCTGCCCCCTGAAACTGATTAGACAGGTAAAACCTTTTTATTTCTGATGTCTGGAGATGTTTAGATTTTTTACTAAAATAATTGTAGTTTTATGTGAGAGACGTTTTATCAACACCACACACAAAACCTCAACCTCATTCCCATACTGAATAAAGGATTCGATGAATAAAGCAGTGACTGTGAGCCCAAACTGATCTTCAAAACCAGTGGCTGAACTGAGAATTGAATCCTCTGAGGAATTCTGACACCTCTGAGTGGAGGCCAGAGTGTATACAGAGCAGCTCCCTGTTTAAAAGTCAAAATAATTCCAAATAGATTTTTAAAAAAGGATGAGGACGGATCATATTAAGGGATGAAACAAAATCCCTAATGTGATTTGTGATGCTAGTGAACGAGATGAAAAATATATTTTAAACCTCAGGCGAAGCTTACTTGACTGAAATAAAAGAAAACACACAACAACACACAGACACACAAAAGCTTTCCAACATAGCTTTGAAAAAATAAGCAAACTCTTGCCATAAATTGACAATCTCGTTTCATTTTTGGAAAACTTTTCCGAACATCTTGGGCTGTGTGGCGGTGTTTTTAGCTTTGTTCACTAATGAGCTGTGCAGCGATTCCCAGGATGGCTGGATTCAAAAAGAATTAATTGACTGAACGAACCTTTCCTTTCTGGACGAGACGAAATCATTCACAAGATCACACAGTCAATCTGCTCTTTACATAAATTTAACCAAAGGATGAGGTTCATAAATCTGCGGCAGCGATTTTTTTTCTCTCTTCAACTTTAGATGCTTTTTAAGGTTGAGGATATAATAGGTAAAATTTTAATTATTTTTAAAAATATTTATGCTGACTCATTTTCTGCTCAGAGGTTTTCTATTCAAGACTGATTAAACGTTTGCTCTTGTTTTAAATTTGTTCACATGTGACATTTCTTACTAGTTTTCTTTCTAGTATTTTCTGTGTTTTGTCTTCGTTCTGTACTGCGTGAACGTCTTTGACTTTCTTGGCAGTACGTGTTTCACTAGTTCCCGAAAATAAGCGTCCATGGAGACTTGAAGCAATAGGTATATATCCACATGATTAGGCCTGTCTTCATTATAGTCCTATTTCCATTAGGGGCGCTGTAGAGTACAGGTGGGAACCCCCAGTTTACGATATCTTTAGAAAATGTATTTTTATATAATTCATTTTGACCTTTTTTATTTTTTGTTGGAAGTAGTTTAATTTTTTTATCAATGTAAAATGTTTATCAAATTATGCTAGCATGTAAAAAAAGTGCTATATTCAAAAATTGCTCTTTGCTCTGTGTAAAAACATTTAATCATACTTTTCAAATTGCTTCATTTCATTATTTAATTTAATTTTTAGTATTGTCTTAGAAAGCTGTTCAAGGCCTGTCATGGAATACAACATTGAAAGGACTGGGATGGGCCGATGTCTCTCAGTCCTGTCTGTCATTCTGTCAGTTTGATCAAGTCTAGCGAGATGTTATCACATTCTCAGCTTCACTGTGTGCTAGTTAGCCACCACAGATATTCACTCTTTGTTGGTGAATCCTCGATCCCTACGCCCCGCCCTCCCCTTTAATCATTTTTCTCATTCCTCCTCTTGGTGTGGTGACAACAAGGTGGGGGTTAGGTTCAGATACTTTGCATTCTCCTTTTAATTCTACGCCAGCAGCACCCAAATGATTCACAGCGAGAGGCAGAGACTCGGTGCGAGGCGGTCCGACCTGTTTCACCTGGTACGGGGATCTGTGCAGATAAATGACACTGACTGGAGTGTTCACCAGAGTGAAACTTTGGCTCTTCACACTTGCTAATTTCCTCTTCCACCTACTCCCTCTCTATGTGTGACACGCTGTGAAATCCATCCGCACCCTTTCTTCTGAGTCCAAGCTGCTTTGTAATCGTCTCACTGTTTATTGGACAAGTCAGAAACACCAGCGTAGAAATCACTGATCTACTGGTCCATTCAAAAGTGACTCAGAGTAAAGTAAATAATATGTTTCTCCAAGGCTCAGACTGACGTTTACCTGCTGTATTTATTTAAAGAAAATTGCTGTGTATTTGGAAAACATTTGGTGAAACGACTGGTTTGACGGAATCATTTTCAGAGAAATCGGTGTGTGATTTCAGTCTAAGTCCGTAGATTGACTCGTTGCCTGTTCCCCCTGGTGTGCAGACTAAAGTTTGTGTTTATCTCATCTCTTGGGTGGTGTGTGTGTGTGTGTGTGTTGTGTGTTGTGTCTTGATCACATTTTAATGATGTGTGTTTCCTGGGTTTTTCTTGCTCACTGAGCATGAGAGCAGGGCTCCCACAGGAGACGTTGCTGTGAGCTGCTTCGTTTGTGTTACGCCAAGCTGTGCTCCTCTGTCTCTGCCTCCCCCCACCCCACCATCCCCTCCTCCCCACTTCCCATCAGCCCTGGACGCTCACTGTTGTCTCCTGTCCACCTGTAGGACAGGTGCGCTGTGACGCACCGCTGTGAACAAAGCACAAATGTAGTAAACACAAAATAAGTTCTTAGCAACCTCTGATGAGTGCATGTACATGCACACACACACACACACACACATAGGAATAACAAACAAACTGCTCCCTTCCATGTCTAACTTCCTTGACTGGCTCAGCCTGTGAGAGCCTTCACCTGCACTTGTTCAGCGACTGAGGGGACGGAGACAACCTGTCAGACTGAGACAGACTTTCTCTCCACTCACACCGGCCTCACTCAGTGGGACACACACACACGCTGGTTCTTGGCTCAACTGCATGGACTTTGCTCTGCTGGCTATTTAGTAATAGCAGGTAGGCAGATGTTTGTGTCGTTTACGATCTGATGCAGCAGCTCGTCTGGATTCTTCTCTGTGTTTAGAGGTTGATTTATCAAGAGGATAAAGTGTAGAGGGAGAGTCATCATATTTTTCGGGTGTTTCCCCCCTGATCACGGTAATGTGTGTGTGCTTCAAAAATTTTTTTTTTAACCTTGAGGTTGCTATGTCCTGCCTTTTTGCTTGCCCTAATACCGTTTCTCTCCATTAATCATTTATTGTGTGTAGCTGATGTGTTGAATCCAGGTTAAATTTACCTTTTCAGACCTGAGTCCATGTGTTTTCTTAGTGATATTTGACTGCAGCAGTGTTTAGATTAAGCAAACCTGCAGCTCGGGGAGTTATTTGCATTGTGGATTTAATGGTGTCATTTTGGATTACTCGTTACTAACGTCAACTTTTATATGAGCAAAACGCAGTGTTCCATTATTATTTTCTCTCCTCAACATCGAGACAGAGTGTTTTTTTGCCTCTGAGTACTTCATTTATAAATCTGAGTGTGTGTGAAAATATGAGGTGACATTTTTCCCACCCCATTAATCTGTCTGCGTGAGTATATTTTGTACTTAAAGGCGAGGGATTATAACAGCATGTTCCTCCTTGTTGTTTTGTATTTGGGGAATAGTCGTCTTTTTTCTTCTTTTTTCTTTTTTTTGTTCTGGGTGTTTTTGGTAAGTGGAAGAACAGGACCATCTACATGTCTGAGGGATGAGACTCAAGAATGTTTCAACGGAGCATGTGTTCCTTAATGGGAGGGAACAAATTGTAGAGGAACATATTTTCAAACAGCCTGCCTCGAGTTTTGAATTGCTTCCAAAACTGCTCACTCATGCTTGGGTTTCTGTTTCTTGTTTCTGTAGGAAACTGAAAACCAAGACGCGGGAAAGGAACGTGGAGAAGAAGCATGTCGAACGGCAAAGTGAAAGGTGGACTCCTTAAATTACATAACTTGGACTGAATGTAAAGCACGTAGCAGTTGATGATGTGTTGTGCGCTGACCCAAAAGGTCATACAAACAATTGCGCATGCCATCGGGCAGAGAGTGATGAAAAATGACTACCTTTTTTACTTTTTGAAGGGAGTTCTTTAGCTTATTACTTCGACCACGCTGCTAATCACCAAAATACATACAGTATTTAAATTCTGTATATGTTAGAGCTGTCAAAAGATTTAAAATTTAACTTTGATGAATCACAGCATAGATGTGGATTAATCCTGGTAATCATGGTTCATTGTAATTGTAATTTATCACGATTAACCATGATTAACCATGATTAACCGTGATTAATCACAATCACAATTAATCACTATTAATCATGATTACTCATGATTACTCATGATTCTATGTGACCAGAATGAATCATTATTGATTGGGAGAAATCCAACATGTCATTGGAAAATAGAATTATTCATTTTGAAAAATATATGCAAAACTTGAACTCCCTTTTTTGGATTTCAGTCAGTTGGAGAAACTAACCTCTAACTTATATAATGCATTTAAAAACCTCCATTGATCTTAATGATGGAGTGTGGCTTATGTATGGCACCATGGTGTATGTGTGTGACGTACTGTGCCTGTGTCTCAGAGGGGGACCTAGCGGCTGTGTTTCGTACCACCAAAGTGCGGACCAAGCTGAAGGGAGACTGCAGCTGGATGCAGCGTCAGAGTGAACCTCAGTCTGAAACCGAGGAGGAGAAACCCTGGTAAAGCCCATGATGATGAAACGATGCCCATTCAGTGTCATTCGTGTTTTGTTGGCTCAACAAAAACCAAATGCGGATTTGCTGTGTGTCCACGCAGGATAGCTGAGGTGAGGGCGAGTCGTCTGAATGGAGCGCCTAATGAGACCAGTCCGACACCTTCACCAACCAAGCCTGCCCCACCGCCACCCACCAAGCCAGACACTGAAAGGTAAACAGTGCTCTCCACCACCACTCTCTCTCTCTCTCTCTCTCTTTTATCTCATGGAATCATTGAAACCTGTGATGTAACGTGATTTTGCTGACAACAAACCTCTGTTTTGAACTTAGAGCGCCAACATCGGGATACCTGATCAGGTAGGACTTGTAGAGTCAGTTCTGTTCCATTTGGTTTCAGTGTTTACACTGACAATAACACATTCATACAGCAAGAAATAGGCTTTCTAGAAATATGTGTGTGTGTGTGTTTATCTGTGGACATACATACTGTATGTGTCTGGTTTGTATAAAATAATATCTACTGATAATAGTTACCAATTATCTATGCATAGATTATATTTACCGTACATACATAGCTTGCCTTATTTTGTTTCTTTGTTTATAGAATAATAGAAGTTGTATGATCACTTGCTATTTTTTATTTATTTTAAAAAAAAGATTTATTGCTTTTTGCTTAAAGGTTTCTAACTTATTTTAATAAATTACTTATTTTGACTTCTCTATCAGAGAATTCTTTCAGATGTCCTTCACTCCAGGCCACTGCTTCTTCAGCTTGTCCAAGGATTAAATTTGAGTTCTTTCAGTTTTGAGAAAAGTGAAAATAATGCAGATAAAGCTCGATGAAAAACCTGTTTCAAATTTTTAATTATTGTAACAGGTTTCCATTCATGTTTGATTGAAAAACATGACGTTGGCTTTCATTCTAAGATTCTTAGGTTTGAAAGACTCAGTGAAATACAACAAAGTTCAAAACTCCTCAAAGCTTAAAACTTTTGGACTCTGCCGAGAGATGTGTTCTAACTTGTTTGATTATTAAAATCTCACACTTGTTTGGAATTATGTTCTTTCATAATATCACACTCTTTTTTTTTCTTCTCAGAGGTGTTTTCACTAAATTGGATGACAAGCCTGCACCCTCCTTATCACCCACTGATTTCAGGTGAGAGTTTTGTCTGAGATGTGACTGTGATGAACTCTCACTGACCTGTGTTCACTTCACCATCTGCTTTTTTTTTTTTTTTTTGCAGTGGAGCAACACAATTCACCAAAAAGCCTTCGGAGACCTACAAGAGAATGTGAGTGTGTGTGTGTGTGAACCAGAATTGCCAGTGAGCTGTTGACAGCTAGAGAGTAAGACTGTATTTTCCATGTCCGTGTCTCTGCTCCTCAGAGCCCCTCACACGGTCAGGTCCACTTCAGAGAACCCGGACTTTCAGCTCAGCACTCAAGAACTGGAGAAAAGGTACAAGCCCCCTCACAGGCTTAAAAATATACAGTATTACCATGCAGTACACTGTCACATACTTCTAAAAATAAAAAAAATACCTTCACATTTTTGCTTTTGATTTCCTAGGACGGAGGCAGCCAGCAGTGTGGTGAAGAAAGCTGCAGTCAGACAGCGGTCCTACGTACTTTCTGCTGCTAAGAAATTTGAGTATGTATGATGTGTACAGTCTGTCAACATCTTCATAAAATACAAGTAGAGCATGCAGTAAATTTTGAATTGTTGTTTATTAAAACAGGGCATAAAATGCAAGTTATTTATTCCACAAAATGCTAGTGTAGTATACTTTAGTTTTGCTCTTCTGGATTCTGTCCAAAACAAAAGCTGAAAAATACAGATAGGGGGCAGTATACTGCCACATTAGCACAATATCATAGTCTTCTAATCGCTAGTAGTTAAGCAACTTTATTTAATTTTATCCTGGGTATCTCTAAGTTTATTACAATTTTTAGCGGAATAATGCTAAAGCTAATGTGTGATTTCAAACCTCAGGTCTAGAGAAAATACCAAACTTTCAAACCTCAGGTCTAGAGAAAATACTGCCGACACGCCTCTCAACAGCAGTGTATCGTTTGTGGCTAAAAGGTAAACTCTCCCTTACATCATGTCAGAATGAAAGTCAAAATACAAATGTGTTGCCACGTCTTAATGTTTGTATGTATTTGTGTTTGTCTGCTAAATTGCAGAGTGGAAATATTTGACGATGATGACAGCCCGCCGACCTCGGAGCCCGTCAGCTCTCCGCTCCCTGCTCCTGTCACACCTGTTACTCCTGCACCACGGGTCCAACCAAGCAAAACGTACGTCTCTGCCGTTCTCCCCTGCACCATGTGACCAGAAAGCTCAGCTTCTTCAGATTCATTAATCATCTCTCTTGTTCACAGAGGCGACACCGGCACGACGACATCTGTCCACGTGGCGGTGGAGAAACCAGCTCTGCCAAAGGTGCAGGACACTGTACCAGACCTCGTTGCAGAAGTAGACCCTGCCCCTATGACCCTTTCATCAAGAGACCCATTTGAAGACATGACACCAGGGTGCACCAAGGTGGCCACCCCTCTCCCTGAACTCATCCCTGTCTTTGTTCCAGCTGTCAGCACAGAGCCAGAGCCAGAGGTTCCAGTAGTTTCAGGTCAATCCAGCACTGACCAGGTCACGCAGAGTCCAGTATTAACACCTGAGGATTTAAAGGCACCGCTTTCACCTGTTCCCACCTCCACTGTTACAGAATCTCCTGATTTATCTTTCCGTATAACAGACATCACAGTCGTAACAGAAACTATTCTTGAACCTGCCCGTGACCCAGAACCCACACCGGAACCAGAAGAAAAACAAGAGCCGGTACCAGAACTAGACCCGTTGATGAAACTGGAACCAGAGCAGAAACCAGAGATAATACCAGAACCACAGCGAGAGTTGTTGTCAGAGTTAAAGCAAGAGCTAGAAATACAACTACTAAAGCAGGAGCATACCCTGGAAACAGAACAGGAACCAGAACCTGAACCTGAGACAGAACCAGAACCTGAGCCAGAACCAGAACCAGAGCCAGAACCAGAACCAGTCATCGAGATAGAGCCAGAACATCTTCCACACCCGGACCTTGTGCCAAAGTCAAGGTCAGATTTTCAAAATTAACGTTAGCCACATGCTACGATGGAGAAATAGATGTAATAGTTTTTAACTAACTACACAGTATATAGCACCCGTGTTTATATAGGTCAACATATAATTCTGTATTCATGTATGTCTTCATTAATAATACAGTACATGTCTTGACAGTAGTATTTCATGTATACTTGTATAGCTATACTTGTGGGGACATTTTCAGGTCCTCACTGAGAATTTTAGGACTAGAATTAGGATTAGGATTGAGCTCAGACACATTTGTAATGGTTATAGTAAGTGCAGTGTGTCTACATACCAGTACTAACAACTCATGAGAATCAGACAGTATGTGTGTGTGTGTGTGTGTAAATATTTGTATGGTATGAATTATTATGTGTACACAGTTATTCTCCAACAGTGATAGTTTCACCTACGCCGTAGGAATGTTTGCTGTGGTGTGATTGAACGCTGCCCTGTGAAACTATTTCTTTGTTCTCCATTTATTTCCACAGCTCCAACGTTGAGACGCTGGCTGCCTTCTATGACACTCTCATTCCTTTTGACACCACATCAACCAGGTAGTAGAAGAAAAAAAAACATCAAATAACGAAAAAAAAAAAAGATTAGCATGAAACTAACATGTTTGTGCAGCCAGCCCTAGCATCACAACATCTGATAATCTACACTATTTCCTCTGCAGTCACAAGGATGTTGAGCCTGAGCAGACACAGGAGGAAGGAGGTTCAGTGGAGAGTCGCAGTGAGGAGAGCAGGTAGAAAAAAAATTACTTTTTCTTTTTTCCCCTCTAATTTTAGGGTTGGCATTAAAAGAAAAGATAAATCCCAGTATAATCCACAACAGAGCTGAGAATACTTTACTGAGAATGGTGTTCAAATAACTAGCCTCAACTACTGCAATGTTTATAATTTACATGTGTAGGTCAAAGAGTTCTAAGACAGATGTTAATTTTATTAATTTTATTTGAGTTTCTGAACTAAAACTTGAAAAATGACGACTGATAATGAAATCAATTAATGATAATGATAATTTAAACCAACCTTGAAGCTGTTAAAATTATTAGTTACCTTGCAACAGATTTAGGTCTGGCTCCATCTGCTAAATGTGTTTGTTTTTTTTCAAAATGTTTGATTTCTGTCCTTAGATAAAGTTAAGAGTGTGGTTGGTGAATTTGGTGCCAAAGGCATCTCCCAGAATCCTTCAAATATGGAATTCTCTGAAGGAAACTCTGTTGTAGAGAAATAGCAATGTTATGTTTAAAAATCACTTTTTTTTTTCAATCTGTCTTTGAACTTTTTTGCCTGGCTACGAATAAGACAGGGCTTTTCGAACATACAGATGTAACCTGTGTTTGGAAAAGCATAGGAGTGTAATGTAACCCAAAGAACATCGTCCTCACAGTGGGGAATGGACGAGACTAGAGTATTTTTTTTCTTTTTTTTTTTACAAAATAGCTTTATTCATTTTATTTATGTATTTTTATTTGTCTTGGAACGTTTTGACCTTGAAGGTACAACCAGATGACAAACTTTTTTTTCCCCTTCTCATTGCCTGCAGTGATGCAAAGGATCCCGCCCCTGTGCTCGTCAGCTGTGAAGTTCTAACAGACGATCTCCTGGCTCTCAGTGACGGGTTTGTAATGAAATACTATGTGCAAGTGCCACTGAGCTATAATGTGCACGTGTCCCACAAGGTGGCACTGTTTGACCTCGAATGATTTTTTCCCCCCTCTCCTAACTCATCTGGCCTGCTCTTCCTCGGAGATATTTTCTAAATCCTGAATCCCTTCTCCTTTCTCCACCTCTGCAGTCCAGAGGAATCAGCACAGCCAGTTCCCCCCAGTCCTGGACGCTGGAGTCAGGATTTGCTCGGTGGATTAGACAGGTATAGAATGGCCTCTTTTCCAGCTGCACCTGAAGACAGAGATTTGTAAAGAATTATCTATTTATCAGAAATCAATAGCTCCCTGGACAGTAGGCAGCTGAACTGAAGCTTCACCTGAACTTTTTAGAGTTGGATACTCAGATTGTAAAAAAAGAAGAAATAGTGCACAAGTTCAGCTCTGTTTTTCTTTTCTGTTTGATTTCTTCAGCCATGCAGAACCGGCAATGACCAATAATTCCCTGGATCTCTTGGCTGACGATGTAATTCCAATCAATACAGAGGCACGCAGGTGAGGAACACAGTTTCTCATTCGTACCTCCTCGAGTGCCACATGTTTGCATCGCTAGTTTTAGAGGAGGCAATTGCTAATGGTTTGGGAATTTACATAAATTAGAACTGCTTGAAATGTAATCAGTTCACAAGACTGCAAATACCAAATACAAACCCAGGGAAGGAGGGTAAACATTTCATAAATACAATCTAAATTATAAAAGTGAGGAAGAAGTGATTTAATTTAAGTTTAACTAAATAAAAAAAGGACAAAAATTGCTTTTTTGACTTTAAAAAAAATGTGTTTGTTAAAAAAAATGTTGACCATAGTGAAAGTGACATTTATTTTAACTACTACATCAAACAATAAGTATGCTATTAGACATTGTTATTGTCCATCCTGTGGTCAGTTCTTTCGACCCACACCCACACACAAAGAAAAGCTTGTGGTTTCTTCAAAGCACTGATGATGTGAGTTGGAGAGAAACAAAGTTGCACTTCCTGCTGGAGAGACAGGGAGCTGCGTCTTATCTGTGAAGAGAACATCCTGCATTAATTAACGTCCCAGCTTTTGTTTTTGTACCCGGGCAGCCTCAGCATGGAGCGAGAGGAGGAGAAGTCGGCAGAGGAGACGTCGGAGGAAACACAAAGGTAGAGGCAGATGACTGGTGGCTGCTTTTAAACAATTAACTGTCTGCTCTGAGCTGCTGCAGCAGCCGGGAACACACTTGACTGAATACTAACTCTGCTGTCTGTCTGAACACCAGCACCACTGAAACAGTCACAGTAACCACCACCACTGTGGTTATCACCGACCAGAGGTACGGAGACACACACACACACACACACACATACTATATTCAGCTGCATTTGCTGCCGTTCTCCACACTTGAGTGGATTCCAGGCATATCTAATGGACTGAGACTGTAAATAGTGTATGAGTAGAAACACTAACCCTTACCTGCCCTCCTTTTTTTTCTCTTTTCGCTCGGTTGTTATTCACCCTCGCTGCTCTGCTTTCTTTTTATGTCATGACTCCTGTTCAGCGCCGAGGAGAACGCCGATCCTTGGAGTTCACACGTGACGACTACAGTCACCAAGTCGAGGTAGTTTGTTTGCTCCCGGGCCACGTCAGTGTGTCTGGCTCTTATATTGCATTTGATGCAGTGCTGAGCAGAGGTCTGGGGGCGAGGGCTGGAAGTTTGATCTCAGATTTGATCTCATCTCTGTAGCCTTATTCTCAGGTCAGATAAAAACAACAACATAGAAAAACCAGACACGGGCAAACTGGGGCACAGGGCCGGATGCGGCCCGTTCAGATTTTTAATCCGGCCCACCAAACTTTTCCAATTTATATCATTTATTTATATTATCATTGTAACTGCTGCCTTTTCCCTGAATTCCCACATATCCCCAATAGATGGCGTAGAAAATTATAAAATTATTTTAGCCTTTATGTATGACTTTTACATGTCATTTATCGTCATTCACACTAACGCTCCATCTCCATCTGCTCCTAACCCGACCCCCCTGTTCAATGTTAGAACAATTGTGGCCCGTGAGTCAAAAGAAAGTTTGCCCACGCCTGGGCTATATAAATACTGTAGAAGAAATTAAAGCAAAATAAAATGAAAATAAATAACTGAAAAAGGATACAGTGCTGTAGGATATCGATATGCTGTTGTGAAATTAAATATCGCAATATCAGTGTATCAGTATTTTCTTACACCGCTAATATACAGTTCACAGTAAAAATAAATATAATATATATATTTAATAATATATAAATATTAAAAGACAATATAGATAAACCCACAATTACTGATCACAGGTCTGGTTTCCCTGGGTTTGGGATGGGTTTTAAATGTATTCTATATGGTACATTCTCTAACCACATTATCTTTAAATATTTGAAGCAAAGCCCAAGATCCAGGATCTCATTTCTGGCATCATTAAACATTTTCCCAGCCACCCTGAGCCGTGTGGGGGCATTTAATGAATACATTTTATTCTTTCATCCTTTACCAATTAATCCTTTTTAAGACTGCAGAGGGAGCTGGAGCTGCCGGTCCCTGCAGTCTTTGGCTGAAGACAGGGTATCTCAGGATAGGTCGCTGGTTCACTCCAGGGCCACATAAAGAGACAAATAAGGATTCGCACTCACATGTATACCTAAGGTCAACTAGAGTGAATAATTAAACTGCATCAGAACCAGAGAAAACCCCTACATTCATAGCTTCTGCTTTAAACCTCGACTGAATTTCATTTAATATATAATATATATGCGATAAGTTAACTTTTAAAATTAAAAGATGGATAGAGGAGGTGATGTATTCCATTGTATGATATACTGTATTACAATTGAATTTGAAAAAAGAAATGGGACTAGAATGTAGGTTTTCCTTCTTCTTTTGAATCAGTTTAAAACAATTGGTCAAGTTTGCGGTTTCTGGGGAAACAAAACGCCGACTGAAATAATTTAGATCAGAGTTAATAATGTCTGGCGTCACTCTGATATTGAGTGCAACCCGGGTTTATTTGAGGTAAAGAAATACACACACCCCCACGCATTCAGCTGCACATCAGACTTTCCATTGGCGGGAGCCGTCCAAATTCTGATTTTGATTGAGTTTGGCCGCAGTTTCCTCCCTGTTTCTGTTTGCCATTCAAACGGCATTGAATCTTTCCATTATGACTCAATGTGATCAGAATTCCTCCGACACAAGATGAGCCGCGCTGACAATTGAGAGTGAAATCAGTGTGAAATTGTTTTTCAGCTCGGCTGATCCATTTGATCCATACCCGATAGGGACCACATCCTCTAACAGGTAATCATATTGGTTTGGAGCTGTGACTGTTTGCCAGCAGCCTGATAGCTTCTCTGCATGCATAATGTAGCAGCCTGTGATTATGAGACACTTTCCTCTATTGCAGCTCCTCTGACCTGCTGCAGCCCCTGGCAGATTTGTCCATCAACAGGTACATGAATGACAATGCAAATGACACTGTTGTGCTATTGTGTCACCTCCATCTGTAGCATGTTACTACATAACATCACGTCCATTAAAGCAGCTCCACTTTGTGCAAAAAGATTGCAATAAGATATTCATAATCAGCAGCCAGAGAGCGGCGCGCCATCCACGCTGCATCTGGTCGACGCGCTTGCGCTAATTCGTAATTTTCCTCTCCCTGCAGTGCATCGACGGCCCTAATGGAGAACGACGATCCAAGTCCAGAGACAAAGTACGTTGAGTGATTTTTCTACCACTTTGTTAGAAATTAGGCAAAATCTAATTGTTTTTCCAGCACTGCCTTATTCGCTGCTGTTGTTTAAGGATTAAATTCAGTCAACAAGAAAGTAAATTAAGGCAAATTAATCTTTCATAATCCATTAATCGCCACTGAGTCAGCCTTTTGAATTAAACGACTTTGAGCACATCCTAGTTTTAAATCATTCTCTTTCTGGGTTTATTTATTTTTTTGAACTCACTCGTGCATGTGAACATCAGAGAACACACCACCTCTTAGGAAATAACTAAATGATGTTCAGCTTTGTTAGAGCACACCACCTCTTAGAAAAAAAACACTGAATTTATTTTAATTTAGAAATAACTAAATGATGTTCAGCTTTGTGTTATTAAGCTGATGTTAAAGAATTTGTTTGACAATGTCCAAATACTAGGCTCCGATGCTCCCTGGGAAACCTGAAAAAGCAAAAAAAATAATTAATTTTTCAATCTTGATAAACTTGAAAAATAAAGAAAGCCACCCCTCCCTGCCCCCCAGACCCTCCGTTGCAACTCTCTGTTTTGTGATATGGGTTATTAGTGTGGTTGTCCCAGGACCATGTTTTACAAACTGATAAAAGTATTTTCTTTGTGTACTCGCCAGTACAAATCCGCAGTAGGACACGTCTTTAGGTTGGGGTGTTAATAACAATGCAATGAACTGGGAGGCAGTGTTATCTTGGTGGTGCAGCTCTCTGAGAACTGGGGTGACACGCTGTGTGTGAGTGTGTGTGTGTGTGTGAACTCAAACCCAACCACAGTGAGGACAACAAGAAGGAAAATGCCTAAAGTCAGTTATATTTACTTCTTAGAAACTGAAAAATTTTACAGCAAACAAATATTTCTGGACAAAATAATATAAAAAAATATATATAGACAAATTAAATACTAATTATTTAGGTCTCATTCAGGTCTTAGTGCAGTGGTCCCATTTTGATGTTATACATTTTTGGGGACCCCAGAGATTTATACGTTTTTCAGAGAGACAAATCCCGAGTCATAGTGGTTCCTGCCCTTGTGGCCCCATTTTGATGTTACACATTTTTGGGACCCCAGAGATTTTCTTTTTTCAGAGAGACAAATCCCGAGTCATTACAAGTTTTTATCCACAAGCATTTCTACCTCCCCCCACGAGAGTTTCCCTCTTTTCATTGTTAATAATAAGAACAGAAGTGGTCTAGGTCAAATTTAGGGTAACTGGACCTGTTCTGGCTGTGTTGACAGAATGAGTGGCGTTGCACTGGAGTCCCTGGCAGACGACGTCATCCCCATCGACACTAACACTACAAGGTATTTACCATAGTGCATAACTGTGTCACCAATGTGTTAGTGGGAGAGTGGGGGGGTCACAGGAATCAGGGTCTCAGTCAGCGTACGTTTACCCCTGTCTCATATGTCACCACCGTCTCCCACTCTGGATTCTCAGTCTCAGCACCCGACGGTCGTGGGCACACACATGGGACAGTAGCACGTCTGAGCAGAAAGACACAGAAGAGAGGTGATGACACACTTAGATTCACACGCACACGCACACACACACACACGTATACGTACAGTATTTGTGTTGCATGCGGCCATCATTGTCCATTATGTGCTAAAAGCCTTTCTGTGTACTTGTGCGTCCACTCTCAGCCCAGAGCCTGAACCACGGGACAGAGACCAGGATCAGCAGACGATGATCATGTTTGAGAGAAAGTAAGTCATCTCTTTGTTTAGAGCGGCGTGTTAAAAGTGCACATCTGCTCCTTTTATACCCGTAACCTCCTTCTCTTTCACCACGGTGAAATAAAAAGGCCTCTGCAGCTTCTGGCCTTTGAGCCATAAGACATTGTGCACTGGAGCCGATGGAAATGGGTCACGTACTCCATATAGTGGTTACAACGTTCCCTCATGAATGTGATGCACACGGGGATCCTCTTCCCTGTTCTATCCTCCTTCTTTATTCCTTTCTTTCCAGGTTATTACCCTGAAAGTGTCGCCAATGCTAACAATTTACAAATCTAGATTTTAGTGTTAGTTTCTCAGATGTTAAAGTGATATAAAGTCAACCTTTGATCCTCATTGGCTCTGCTGTGCTGCAGCCATTTTTTAAATCTCTTTTCTTGAGGTTGCTGTTCAAACTTCTTTATTGTTTTATTTTTTTAAATTTTTCCTTAAAGTGCATTTGGCCCAAAACTTGGTTTAGTATGACATAATATCCAGGCGGTCATTAAGAATTAAATAAACTTAATGGATTTGAACTACAGTTTTCCCTCATTGGATTTTTTAAAAACATATTCAAAAGTCCACAAAGCTGTAGGCTAATCAATTATTATTATTATTATCATTATTATTAATAGCAATTATTATTATAATTACTACTATTATTATTATCTTTATTTATTTAATTAGAAGTGTTGAAGCTGTGACACCTGTGAAGCCCTACAGTAAAAATTACCCCAAACACACTTATTATTTCATAAAACTAACTTTATTACTAATATTACTATATTAAAGACATTGTCATTATATTGTCTGGAGGATTTCTCTATTTTTTTTTAAAGTTATTATTTTAAGTTTTAAAGTCTACTAAAGGTGGTGTCACAGTTTGTTACATTTTATAAAAACTATAAAAATATGTGTCTTTTAAATAAATATGTCATCTTTTCCAGGTCCAAGGAGAATGATTCTCCATGGGACCGCTGGACATCACCCACTGTTTATAATGTTACCACCACTACTGGGGAGGAGGAAGAGGAGGAGGAGGAGGAAGAGCAGGAGGCAGCAGCAGAAAGGTACTGTATCTCTGCAGACGCTGAACTCATTAAATCCACATTAAAGCGCTTCTTTGCAGCGATTTAGTTGGATGCAATTAGAGAACTTTAACATTCAGTGTCTGTCAACCATTTAATTGAAAGCGAGCTAAATACAAGTTTCTCACGGCTCACTGTGAGATTTATTTTCTCCTCCTCCATTCCTCTGACTTTATTACTGCCGCTGTTTTTCACAACTGCTGCCAGAATGATAATGATAGGAAACTGTCTTTCACTTCTTTTTCAAGCTCCGCCGAGACACACGTGCAAACTGTCACCACCATCACCACTATCAGGTGGGTAAACCTCTCCAAAAACCCCCTTTTTAAAACCGGAAACCTTTGAGACATTCGAGAGCAGTAGGAGTGGAGTAGTTTAAGTAACATGCAGGTGATGTTGACAATGACAGTATTCTGGAGGAGGGATCAGGACAAGTTTTCCAGCCCAAAGGAAAACAGACCACACCTGGTCAATAAACTCAGATCCCTGTGGAGCTGCGTGTTAGAAAGATCAGCTCTACACTGTACACTTCACTTCACAGGATACTGCTCAGCTTATTGAGCCTGCAGTGAAAGTCTAATATTGCTTCCCTTTATTTTCCAGGGAGACAGAGAGGGAGCTAGAGTCTGCTATGGATCGGTGAGTTTATGATTTTGTTAGTGTCAGACACGGCATAATGCAGGAATACATTTGAGTATTATTTTTCCACTGTTCGGTCTGCTGACTTTTTGTAAAGACTCTCTGAACCAAAACTTTTTTTTTTTTTTACAAGTCTCCTAATGTATGGCAGTGTGTGGAAATGTCACCTATTAGCCACAGCTGGAGTGTAAACGTTGTGTTGACCCCTGAGGCCTTGGGAGTAATTACCAAAATACAGCAGTTTAAACGCTTTTTAATTTTCTTTTATAAAATGTACATCGTCACGTAGGTGACTTTGCAGAAATGTGACGTCAAATAAACCGGTTTGCTCTATCTTAAATATTTACTTAAAGTATTGACTATACAGCCTTAAATATATTCTGTCACGGCAAACTCACACGACAAGGTCAGACCGCACATTATGGCAGCGTGTTTGCCACGTTTGGCAGGCTGACATTCAGTTAAATGTTGTGTGTCGCAGTCGGAGACAATTAAGGCCACGTCTGGGATACACCTGAGAACCTGTTTAAAGAAGGAGTGGGATGTCCTTCGGCAGCAGTGACCTTCTCCGGTGGAAGCACACGGCACTCTGAGCGCTATTTTAATAAGTGTAAACAAAACAAATGTCAAGTTAAAGACGAATGATTAAGTTAATGCTGCATGATGTTGTACTAAGTTATATCGTGCAGTTTGACGTTTATTTAAGGACATTAAAATTTGCTGTAACAAAGAATTTACATATTCTGATTAACTGACAAACCCCCCGCACAGTCTTTCTAAGCCCTCTAGGTGCTTCAGGTACTCAGGGACAGGTATTTCCCGTTAAATAGCTCTGCTGTAGCTAATCTAGTATATATATACATATATATTTATAATATATATTAGTTAGTTGGATAATTTCTTGAAAATCTCTAGAGGTGCCCCTTGTAGGTTCAAGCACTGCACCTTTAAGTCCACTCACCTGGTTGACCTTCTTTGACCTTGCCGCATTCATTCAGGTCCACGTTCTGCATCTACAGTTACCTGACACTGTGCTGTGTGAGAGGCGAGGCCGTCTCCAGTCTCACCTCTCCCACTGAATGACAAACTGCTGCGGCCCATTGTCTTTCTGTTGGCCCTCATTTCCTTGCCAGTGAATCCCAGCCTCCAGATGTCAGATTAATGATGTGTAATAGAGATGTCCTTTTGTCAAACCACAGTCCGTTAAACAGCGTGCCATTAACAAGCGACGGCAGAAAATGATTATCTCCTGAGTTACATTTGACAGATGTGGAGTCCCTCAGCCTCTGTCATTACACCGCAGCCGTCGGCGTGTAGACGACCGGAGGATATTAACTCTGCTGCACTCTTTCTCCAGGTATCAAACCTATAACCGCACTGTGCTGGAGGACACACCCCGGGTCCAAACGCCAGAGGCTGATGCCAAAAAGTGAGTTCAACATTTTTTAAACCCAGTTTAACAGTTACTGCACTTTTCAAGTACTAACTACTTCCTTTATCATCAAGGGGCATCGTGTATCTGAAGGAGTACGTGAATACATCTGAAGACAGAAATAGATCTGGAGACAGAAGCCATCTGTATGAACACTTTATATTGTTATTTATACAGTTTATCCACAAACATTTGACTCAATAACTCACTGGTCTTTTTTTTCTCTGCAGTGATTCAGACTATTTCACCTCCACCTCCAACAGTTACTCCTACAGCAGCCCTTCCTCTTACACCAGGTAAATACAGCATTGCTACAATACCAGTGGGAACCAGTGGTTCTCAAACTACGGTACGTGCACCACTGGTGCCACTCTGGCTCCCACTGGTGGTTTGCAGGAGAAATTAATTTAATTCCAAACTTGAACTCTCAAAGAATTTTTGAAGAAAATAGTAATGTTGTTAATGTCTCTGAAATATTTCCATTGGTGAAGGTATTTGAAGCTTTACCACATAGAATTTCTCATACTTCATTTCATCAATTCACTTCTTCTGTTCCCTCCTCCTTTTTTAAGCCTGATACCCAGATTGCTCAATAAATCTTTTTGCAGCTTTTCCAGCTAAGAACGTCATACACTAAACCTGTTTCAAAACCAGCTTTAACCTTAACATTTTCTGTTTTGGCGAAACTTGATATGGGTGAGCAGCAACGCAGAAATTCTTTAGAAGACGAGGCCATATTATCAAAGGATTATTTACCCCCTCTTACTGTTTGAATTCGCTCACTCGTGGTAGCAAAGGTCAGAGGTTATTTAAGGAACTGCAAGATGGCTGTGTCTTACACACAAAAAACCCCAGAAACATCCAAGTTTACTTGTCACTGCTTTTCTCTCTCCCCCAGGCATTCGATGACATCAACCTGCACGTATTGCGGAGAGCAGGTGGGCGGTGACGCTAAGATCACCATTGAGCACCTCAATATTAACTCCCACCCTGCATGCTTCAAGGTAATTTATCCGTTGACCTGTGAAAAGTAACCTGTATCACCTTTGTGCTGAGAGCTACATATGAGTGTTTTTATCGCTTTCACATCTGCACCAACATGAAAGACAGATAGATATAAGTTGTGTACAAACCGTATTGGGATATAGACTTAAAAAAAGACGCTGAGAACAAGTGAGAGGTTTACATTCTGAAAGCTCTAAAGCGTGAAGAAAACCTGCACGGTGCAAATGTCAAAATGTATTGCCTTTCCCCTCTGCTGAATGGATTTACAAAGGAAGACTCCTTACTCACAACCCTGTCACTAAATCCCTACCAAAACCATGGGTTGTTTATATCTGCTGAAGCACAGTTAATGCTGAGTTTTGCAGGCTAACCTAGCTCCGGTGTGTACATCTGAGAATTCCTTCTTTTTGGAATTCTGAGAGAAGTCTTTGGGGCCATGTCATAACTTGCTTCCTTGCCTCAAGACAGAGATCCAGTTTCATTCAAATGTTAGAATTTTTTGAGGAAAAAAAAGTCACCTGCACAGTTTTGAATGGTTAAACATGTGACATTTGGTCTAAATTTAGAAAAATGATAATTAATCATAACTAATCATGACTAACTAGATAATGTTATATATATTTTTTTTATTTAACTTTAACCACAATTGTAATACATAGTCCCACATGATGTTTGTTCTATGGAAGCCTTAGGGTTAAAACTGTTCCATCAGCTTCAGTGAAAGTGAATTTACCCAGAGGCTGATTCTAATGTATGACTGAATTATAAAGGTCACAAACACTGCTGTACTTTATGGGTTTTTAAATTATATTTTTTGATGTTTTTTTTCTTTTCATTTCCATTGCAGTGTGCTGTGTGCAGTAAGCCCATGGGAGATCTGCTCTACAGCATGTACCTGCACGGTGGGAAGGTCCACTGCGAGAGCTGCTACTCCAAAGCTTTGGACTGATTATAGAACTCTTCACCAGCCTTTTATCCACATCTCCTTACCTTCCCATTCATTTGCATATAAAGTGAAAACTGGTCTTAGAACTTAGAGTTCAGACGGGCTTGAGTTTGAACCGTGCTGTGGTTGAGGCTGACCAGAAAGACCGTTTTAGTAAAGTGTATGAATTCTTAATTCTTAATATTAATACTTACTAAGGTGCAGTTTCTGATGTCTTCAACCCATTATATAAACCTGAGTTGCCCCCGCCTCCACCCTCCCCCCTCTCCCTCCCCCTGGTGTTAACAGCTGTATCTTCCTCAGCGAGTGTATGAAGGACATCTATGTACAAAATGATGAACAACTGTGAATAGAATAGAACTGGCAAATTGGGTGAGCTACTAAAATTCAGATCCAGAGATAGCTAATTAAGACAATGGGTTTGTTACAAAATGTTTACTTACTTTCTTCTTGATACAAAATAGTGTGATCATATGTATGGAGGTTTGTTAACAAAATAAACAAACAAAAAAAACCCTTGAGATACAAAACACGACGACAAAGATTGCACAAAAACAATGATTGTACTGAGTAAAAAAAGGGGGAAACAGTTTAACAATTTAGTACGGAGTGTGTAGCGCTGACTTTTATTAGCTGAGCTGTTCCTGAGAACGACATGATTTCCCACTGGGAGTTGTGCTTAACTTTACATTGGCCTTTTTCCACTCACCGGTGAAATATTCTCCTTGCATAGTCACTAAAAAAATTGCTGTGTACATAAATGTGACTGTAGCTAATAATACCCATCAGCTACCTGCAGAGTTACTGTAAAAAAAAAGAAGCTAATAGAGTTCATTGGCGCCTGCAGAGTTACTGTAAAAAAGAAGCTAATAGAGTTCATTGGCTGCAGCCTTGATGGTCTTCACACACAGTTAGGCAGAGCTCCCCTGGTACCGAGAACGGGTCTGTGGCTCGGCTTCAATCCAATGAGAACGTGCATCTGTAGAACAGATGCACTGCATGCAGTAAATGTTAGCAACACGGGGCAGTAATGGCACCTTGGTTACAGTAATAAAACTTTTCAAGACATTATTTTCCCATTACTGAATTTTGGGAAAAAGGGCAAAGGAGTTTCCAATACTGGACTGCGATATCAAAATCTGTTACAGTACGACTGTAATGCCCCAAAGAGTACGAGAGTTGGCTCAGGTGCAAAAGATATGAGCAATTTCTGCCTCATCTAAACAGAGAGGCTGCATAATAGCTGAAACCCCCTAGTGTTTACCCCTGGCTCTGCTCACAGCTATGTTTTGGATGTGCTTCCAGAGCAGTGAAGGATCCGACTCGTTATGTCTTATTAGAGACTCCAGCCCCTCTGCTTGGTCCAAACTGTGCCAGTAATCCTGAGGCCATGTTTGAAGCCATCTGTGGAGAGATAAACAAACACTTTAGCAGATGTTTTTAATTACACAATTTTAATGGGTCCATTCCTGTCTCCCGCCCACGAATAATCTGGGAAGCACTCGCCCATCATTTGCAGGTAAATCGGGGACGTCTCCAAATCCAGGACTGGGCAGGGGGCATCCCAGGTGGGAGTTATCTGCCATTCTGGGCTGAGGTGGTTTGTTCTTTTTAGGTGCTCTCCTGTACGCTCGTTCCGCGGCCAGCCGTGCATTTTCTCTGTCGCACACGTAGCATTCAAACCCGTTCAGGTAGTTTGGTTTGCTCATGTCGTTGACCCCCCACTCACGGGTCTCTAGAGCCTCCAGCAAACGTACGTTGGTTACACGTCTGGGATTTTTGAACTCTAGGTATTTCACATATTCATCATCGTTCTCATCCAGGCGTTTGAGGAAGTCGGCGAGAGCTTTCGGCGACGCAAAGTCGTCTATGATTACGGCGCTGTGGTCATTTGGCATCCAGTCTGCCACCACTGAAGACCCTCTGTAGATGGGGACACATCCCTGATGGAGGGGTCGCCACAGCTTCTCCGTCATGTAGTCTGGACACAGGCCGTTCTCCAGAGCCAGGTGGAACTTGTAGCGTGCTACGAAATTCATGAACCCGGGTTCCTCGCCAGTAGCGGTGGCTGTGTCCTCCAGGTGCTCAGGTAGAGCCTTGTTGTTGAGGCATTTTCCATAAGAGTCAATCTACAGAGACAGGGGTTAAGGTTCAGGAGTGGGTTTTGAAGGACTGAGTGGGACGACATTTTACGGCTGTTTTAAACTAAATAAATGTGACTTGCATCTTTAGATATGTTTCTCTGGGCTAATCTATGATTAAACAGACATGATTATTTTATATACAATTACAGTATATACCATCTATAATAGTCAAGTGGACTAGAAATTTAAAAAGTTGGTCATCAGGTTTTTATAGTAATACTTTTTTTGCTCATAACGCTGCCGGATGTACAGTACATCCTACAAACTATCTGATGTCGTTATGGTGAAATGATGTGACATTTCCAGTTTAGTACCTGGATGTACTTCATGAGCTCCTGGACATATCTGTCTCTGTCTGACGGTACATCACAGTGGGACTGCATGTACAACACAGGAGCCAGTCCTTCCCTCCTCAGACGGTTCTTCTCCTGCAGGGACACCGATGTAGGCTGCAGCAGGTAGTCCAGAGAGGGCAGCCACTGCAGGGACAGAGGGTAGTCGGACTCCCTGCGGAAGGTGGCCGTGTAGTTGAACAGTCTGATTCCCGGTCCATGAGAGAGGATGTAGTTGTTCATCGGCGACTCTTCGTGAAACAGTGCCCATGTCTGGTGACGGAGACGAGGAAGCGGTGCCTCGTATGCCCTGAAGTCTGTCCCGTAAAAGATGATGGATGCTGTCCGCTTGTAAAGTTGGACCTTTTAAAGATGGAACTCAGGGTTACAGAGAACAATAATACAAAAGAAAAGTTGCGAGAATACAAACAGTATCGGTACCTTGCGATTACTTGTCGCCAGACAGGAGGATGTGGCACAGTCGATGCGTTCAGTGTCTCCTGGGAAATGTGGGAACAGCCCCCCGCTCCACCACAGGATAATGGGAAGCTCTTTGTTGCTGCGGCGGTCCGTATTACCAGGTCCCCTGTATGAACTAATGGAGGAAAACTCCATCTCAGACAGAGCACTCTGGGGCAAGAAGGCTCCTCGGTCCACTGTATCCAAGTCCTCCAGAGTAAGATGACCATCAGGTAGGGAGGCAAAGGAGACCCAAACCCAGCAGAGCACACCAAACAGCCCCAGACACAGACAGGACACCAGCCTGCCCCTGCCGGCCATCTACGAATGATAAAAGACAAAGTAAAGTGACAAATCAAACAGAACGCTCAGTATTAAAATTCATCCCCCGTTTGGCAAATCCTTTGCTGTTGTTACATTAGCGTACGTTACGATGATATACGCATTTCCGTTATCAGACAAGATCGCTTTATTGGCAATTTACAGAGAAACTCGTCGATAACGTGTCATTTAGCCTCACCGGGTGTCGAACTACCGCAACACGGACAGATTCTTACCGTCGTTGTTGTTGTTAAAACATGAAGTCAAAGTTGTCTCTTTTCTGTGAAAAAAATATTTTGTTCCTGTTGAAGTTGGCGCAGACGGAGAGCGATTGTGATAACGGGATGCTGCAGACGCTGATCATAATAAACACGTCTGCATTCTTCTTCTACGATTTCAATTTGCACCGCCCTGCACATTCTTCTTCATCAGACGGAAACTAAACAGGACTGAAACAGCGCACCCTGCAGTTCTGGTTGTTGTACTTCAGCGACACTCGTGGTTTAAAATGAAAATAAGGCGTCACACTTGACTTCACCGTTTTATACATTTATAGCCTAAACCTACGAGCAAAAATGAAAAGGAAACACAATGAAACACAACAACGACACCAATATAATGTTTATATCTGATTGTATCTTTTATCTAATGTTTCGTGACAGATCATATATTGTCATTACAGTCGTAGTGTATTACAAACAAACGGAAAGTTAAAATCGTTGAAAAAAACCCTTAAAGCTTTACTGTAAACAATTCAAAGAAGATGGACAAAAGGTCAAAAATGTAAACTGTATGTTACACATTGCCAAAACAACAGTAAGTGAGTATATTTGATAAATATTTAAGCACTGCCAACAAGAACGTATTTCGATGTTGGAAATAACATATCAAGAACAACTGCGAGTAAGTTTAAAAATAGATAATTGAGACACAGCCAAGAAACAATACAAACTTAGCCATAAGTTATTACAACGTTATAGCTGAATGTTGGCCATAAAAGTGTTTACAAATAGCGAAAGAGCAAATAACGAATGTTGGCCATAAAAGTTAATGTTTACAAATAGCGAAAGAGCAAATAATATTCCTGCTAAAAATTAAATACATTATTTGTTGTATTCATGCTATTAACGAATACATACCATCATATACATTGTTTAATTTAAAACAATTCTTAGTAAAAAAGTATTGTTTTTTGACGTTTTGTGTTTTATTATGTATTAGAAGTTTCCAGATGTATAGGTTTGGTCTCAAATTGCAGCAAAAAATATATATATTGTAACATGCCTTTCACATCTTATATTGGGTCATCTTCGAAAAGTTCAATCTATTATTACTAAACATTAAACTAAGATACGATCCGCAAAAATAAAAAAACCCTTAGGTTTAACTATTCTAAAAAAAAAAAAAAATACAAAAAAAAACTTAGGTTTAACTATTCTAAAAAAATAAAAACATAAAAAGAGATTTAGAATTGTTTTTCTAAAAGAAGAAGTGAAAATAGTATTTCTTCTGTCCTAGTAATAAGCCGTTTGTGATGACGTCATTTATTAGAGCCGAGTAAATTGACGGGCTTTAGGACCCAAAGATGTTTACGCGGTGTCACGACACTCAGATGCAGGGCAGCTGGACTGGGCGCATCAGAATAACTACAGTATTAGAACCAGGGTGAGTAAAAATATACGTTTTCTCTTTATCCTGGCTTATTTTAATTTACAGAATAATCGTTTTACTGCAGCACTTGTTCTTTGGTTGCTTGGCCGATTTGTAACATTGTTTAGAGTCGCATATGCACTGATGCTAACGGTTAGCCCGGCAGTGTAAAATGTCAACAAGCCGTCAGACTAGCCGGTTAGCATGCTAGTTGGCTGTGAGGTTCGTTCATCTGCCGTAGCGGCTGGACAGTTCCTGCTGTGTCGCTGTCCAGTTTTCAGTGTAGTCTGCTCTCCTTTGTCATGCCTTACATTTAAGTTCTGTGAATAAACAAACTGCAAAGTTGAACTTGTACACCAGACTTTTATTCTGAGTCACTGAGTGACTCGACTTTATTACCAACAATATCAATATTGTATCATGGTATTCTCTTTTATGCATTATTGTATTTTATATGTTCTGGATAATAGAAATATTGTTGTTGAAGTTGGAGTTGTATTTTTTCTAATTTGCATTATGACCACTAAAAGCCCCTTAATTTGTTAGGTCTGAAAATTCCTAGCTATTTATACTCTTGGCTAAGTACAAGTATTACTAATCTAACGTCTGCAATTGGCTAATATTTTATTTATTTTTGGCAGCTTGATTCACATTACTAATGCTACTTTTTGGTACTGACTAATGGTTGTTTTTTTTTAATCCTTTGGGACATATTTACCCTTAGGGTTGTTTACTTTAAGGCTATTTTTTAAAAGAATTAAAAGCTCTTTTGACTATCTTTTATAGATTAGTACATTTAATTTCAGTCATGACTTGGCTAACATGACACTTAACAGATTAAAGAGCTTATCTGCAACCTTATGTCATCGCCAGAAATTTCAAGGTTGTTTGTCTAGAGACCATGTAGTTATTTTCTGACCTCGGTTGACAATATTCATGAGTCGGTGTTATTTGCTGGGAAATTATTGTCAAATAAGCAACTTTTTTTCTGGATAACCACAGAACAGACATGGCCTCCTTTCTAAGACCTTTGACAGTCATGTTGGTCAATCACCCTTGTCTCTGTTTTTTAACTAGTCAACCATTAATTATGCTTGTCTTTGTCTTTAGAGTTGTACACTAATATTGCTAGAGAAAATTTGTTTTTCACATGATAGTGAGAACTATATCATAGCCAGTGGTCATTACAAAAAATGTAATTTATCAGATAAAGGTAAAAAAAGAAAAACCTTAATATCAGTTACATACAGTATTAGCTTTTCTTGTGAACTACTTTTCAAAAAATTTAAAAAACAGCAAGGTCATTCTGTGAATTAAAATTTAAAAAGTTGAACAAGAGTCTTTTTTTGCAGAGGAAGCATAGACTTTCATTTCCCCATTTTCACTAGCGTTACTGCTTTGGTTGTTAATTTATCAGTACTTTGCATAAAGCACATGTACTTTGTTCCTCTTTCTAGGTTAATCCGACCCTGGCCTGCCACCAGGTGTGACGGGCTGTTACCCAGTAAGGAGATCTTACTGGATGGGAGGACGCATAATGAGCGGGAAGAGTCTGCTGCTGAAGGTAATCCTGCTGGGGGACGGTGGAGTCGGCAAATCCTCCTTGATGAACCGTTACGTCACAGACCGCTTTGACTCGCAGTCCTTTCACACCATTGGTGTGGAGTTCCTCAATCGAGACCTGGAGGTGGATGGACGCCTGGTCACTCTTCAGATCTGGGACACAGCAGGTCAGGAGCGCTTCAAGTCCTTGCGCACACCCTTCTACCGCGGCGCCGACTGCTGCCTCCTCACGTTTGCCGTGAACGACCTGCAGAGCTTTCAGAACCTGGGCTGCTGGAAGAAGGAGTTTATGTACTACTCTGACGTGAAGGATCCCGAGCGGTTCCCCTTCGTTGTGCTCGGCAATAAGGTCGACATGGAACAGAGGGAGGTTGGAGAAGATGAGGCGCGGGCATGGTGTGAGGAGAACGGATGCTGTCCTTACTTTGAGACCAGCGCCAAGGATGACACTAATGTCACGGCTGCGTTTGAGGCAGCTGTCAGGGAGGTGCTGGCTGCTGAAGACCAGATCGACCACACACTTCTGAGCAGTACTATTGATCTCCACGGAAACCGCAAAACCTCTCGCACGTCCTGCTGCTGAATGTCAGGTGTGAATCCACCTGGTCCTAATCTCTCTGGCTCCAACTTTGCCCGAGGCGGTTTTGAGAGCCTTTCAGATTTTTTTTTATGGTACTTGTGCTATTAGGTACTGAGTGCAGTATACAGTACAGATAATATGGATTAGATAGAGAACCTGTGAGAAGGTCAGTGTCAAGGACTGGGGCTTTAGTCTAGATCGTTGACTTCTCACTCTAACCAAGGTACAGACTCACTCTGCTGCTTTCACTGGTGTTGCACAAGAATATTTCACCAAGCTTTCGCTCAGAGTTCTCGTTCAGGGTGTTGTGCGTCTGACGGTGGTTTCAAAGCATTTTGGTTTAATCAGAGAAATTGCAATTTTAATTAACTCAGTGAAGATACCAGTCTCCTATTGAAGAGCACACTCTACTTTGGACACAGCGACATGCAGCTGCTTTCGGAACTGCTTGAGTTTTTGGTCCACGAGGACTGAACACACAATGGCCTTCATTTCTTTTTAGAGATGTTGACTGTGACCAATGTTGTCTGAGGTACAAAGACACAGAATGAATGCTGCACACAAAAAAAGGGGACATGTCCTTGTTTGCCTTCAGAGAGAGAGAAAGAGAAAGAGAGAGAGTGGATTTGTGAGTATTAGTTTTGTAACTCTGACTTCGGCGTTGGTGCTGAGCTGCTGTGATGCTCTGATTTATGAGATCAACAGACGGTTACCATTGCCTTTGCTGTTGAGGTAGACGGACTGAAACTGCTTTATGGTGTGATCAGGATTATGAGCAGTCAGTGCAGTGGACCTAAGAAACAGAGTGCATTATTTTGTTCAGGTTATTTCTGTGGAAAACAAAACACGGACTGAATAATTGATGCAGTTCATCAATGTCACCAAACGGCATATCCTGCAAAACCTCTGTGAACTAAAAATCTCTAACCTTAAAAGCAACTTTTATTAACATAACAGGTGATAAACTCAAGCTAAATGTTATAGAAGAGAACTAATCTTAATCTTTGATTTAATTCCTGATGATCCAAAACTAAACACACTATCTGAAAAGGCACAAGTTTGTGTTCATTCCGTGGTTTGTCACCAGATTATTAACATTTCTAATCTCAGTTTTGGTACCTCTCCTCCTGTTTGGAATTCCATAGACTTCGCTGCAGAAGCAACTCTTTAGTTCTTTTCATTTTGTTTTTGGAAAAGTATATTTACATCATTTAAAGTCTGTAGTTTGTTTGTTGACCTTGTTTGGTGTGCACACTAGAGGTTTGTGTTTGATCAAGATTACAGAAAACTCGCTCTAAGTTGGTACACTTCCTAAAAATGTCATTTTAGAAAAATGGCAATTTGATAATGCATTTTCTTAGAAAATGTCAAAAGACTTTCAGTATTTTTACTCAACGTAATGGTCACATTCATCTCTGGGTCACATTCTGTTTTAATATTTAATATTATCTTTATTTTTGGCCCATTATTTTTGGAATATTGAGCTGCATGATGCATGCATTTAAAATAGAAAAACCAATCTGGACTGCAGGCAGGACAGTCAAGCACATGATTGTCCAACTGGCCTGCTGAAAAAAAAAATCTCCGGACTGTTTTGGAAAACCTGTGTGTCACGTCAGTGTTGGTTCTCTGTCGTCCGGGTCCTTTTATCTGAAGCAGTTTGTTAGACGGCGGCAGAACTGTCTTGGTTTCTCGATGATGTTTTCACCTCTCGTCCAAGAGTCTTCCTCAGTTCTGAAGAAGTTCTGATGAAGCCTCTTCTGAAGTGCAAAGGTTTAAGTGCAGACCTGCTTGCACTGAATGTGTGCTGTGTTAAAGGCATTTCCTTTAGGAACCGTACCAACTTTTCTGTGAGTGGCAGTGTTTTATTATTCAGTATTTTATTTTTCTCACCGTCGGTTTGTCGTCGTTTTGTGTTCCATTACATACACTGTGCTGTCAGTGTGGTCATATCCTAGGTCTCAGTTGACCATAGTATATTACATAAGAGTATTCAGAAAACTTGCAGATGTTTCTCCTAATGGTACTTTTCTCTTTTTTCCCAGTATTTGTACATAAAGGTTTACTACCCAGGGGATGAACTTTAACTACTTAAACTATGTAGTTTTACCTGCTGTGGTCCAAAAGCCAGTGTTGTTTTCATCTGAATTTTAATGCTTCAAACTGAGTTGAAAAGATTTATCAATTCATTTTTTTAACCATTTTTCTGTTGCTGCTTGAACGGTACATTTTGTTGTTTGTTTTTTTCTTAGCAGAGAAAGCGATGACATAAGTAGGAAACTAGCATTCTTCTTCTTCTTGTTCATCTTCTTTCTTTCTCTTTCCAATGGCCTCGGCCTTAGAAAACGTTTGCTTCTCCATCGAACGGTTGCATCCTCCTGTGTGCATGCCGATGAAAAGTGAACATTACCAGAGTTTCACTGTGAAAATGAGCGGGGGAGTAAGGGAGTAAGGGAGGGGTGAAACTGTACAATGATGATATTGATGGAATTACACGGTTCTTTGTTTTAATGCAGACCTATAATTCACGCGTGTGTGTGTTCATGGTCGTTGTTAAAACGTGTGTTTGAGAAGTGGTGCTCGGGGAGTTTTATGAGAGTTTATTAACTGTGAACTGATTTTGGCATTTGAACAGAATGGAGCTGTTAGCCTGCGTTAATTGCAGGCCAGAAACCGGGGGCTGAGGTTTGGTCGTTTGTCAGCGTTAATACTTTCTGAATTAAAACAGAAGCGTTCGTTTTCTTACTGGACGACTTTACCGTTCAGAGCATGTAGCCGAACGCAGTGTTTACCTTAAGAGGGAGTGCGTATTTACTGTACAAGCTGGTATCATAACGGTGTGTAGCTCTCATTTGTCATTGAGTCTAATGTCAGTGTTTTGTTTCATTTTTGAACTGTTTTAAAAAACTGTACTATTTAAATATGAATGTGAACGCTCAATTCTCTGGCCTGTCCTCACTGTCGGCTAATGTAAATCGCAAAGGGCATTAATTGTATGGCGATTGTCGTCCGTTTTACTCCGTACTTACCCCACGTGTGTGTGTGATGTAAGATGTGTGAACGTTAGGACTTTTCATCTCTTGTTGATCCAATCCTCAGCTTCCCTTACACCTCTCTTTTTGCACTACAATGGATACGCCTGATTCTGCCAACATGCTGGCAAAGTATTGAATACCCTCCAGTGCTTGGCTACAAATAAAACATGAGGCGAACCAAAGGGAAACACAATCTTGTCCGTGTTTTTTTGTTGTTGTTGTTGTACGCAGCTTCAAAACAATACATTTTGTTAGCTATTTTTGAAAACAAAAATAGCTGACTTCGCCGACTACATTTCTTCATCAGGGAGGAGAAAAATGTCCCAGTTAATAAAGAGCTGAGATATTGACGTCAAATTCCCCCGGCCTTCTCCCTTTCATTTCTCAGTTACATCAATAAATGCAACTTTTGGTATTTTCTTTTTACCCCGAAACAGGCCTTGTTTAAATTTCATCAGACAGGGCCTTGAATGTCACTGAATTCTCAAGTATGCGTGGGACCCAAGAGAGTGAGGAGTGTTCATTTCCTCTCTATTAAAAAAGGAATATCAAACATGCTCTGCATTTTTATTTTCCCTTCATTAAAAATAGGATTTCGAGCATATACGACGTGAATCTGACCCGAGGCAGGATTGTTTTTTTTTAAACCTAAAAGACTTTTCTTTTTAAAATAATGTCGATCAAATACAGAAATAAAACAAATTTAACAAACTATGGGATAGCCCAAATTAGGAGAAAACCATGAAGGGAAGCAGTTTAACAGTAACAACGACGCCATCATTTCCACGGCCGACTCATTTGCGACGGTTGTCACTGACGCTCTAATCGGCCAATCGTGAGACGTCCGTAGTATGGGCGGGGTACGGAGAACTCAGACTCTTGCCCCAGTCCCTCTGCAGCCTCAGGCACAGGTCGTAGCCTCTCCACTCCTCTTTTGCCCTGTGCCTCAGCTTCCTCTGGTACACCGCCAAGTGCAGGAAACAGTGCACCTATGGACACGAGAGGACAGAATACAAAACACCTTACAAAACACCTTGGCCCCAGAATGTGGCTGGAAGCCAAGGATGAAGTGCTTGTTAAACACCGTGGCATTACATAGAACTTCCACACTCCAATATATATATTTTTTCTTGAATATTTGCACAAAGATATCCAGGAATATTTTTTTATTATAAAAAAACAAAAACAAACAAATGTTCTCATTTAACAAATCTACCATCCACATCAAGGTGAAGCTTGAACCCAAATTGCATTTCTACTAGTTTTGCTGCAAAAATGTCTATTAGTTAGAATCAAAGCCTAAATATAATTGAAATTCTGCTAAATAAGTAAAAACAATTGTTATACAATAACTACAAGCACAACTTCTAAATAAAGTATTATAATCAAAACAAGGTTAAAAAAGCACCTCTGTCATGCGGGGGGCAGGGGGGGTCGATTTGCAACTAATTTTGAGGTCACGTGACCTCCAGTTAGCACGCAGTGCTTCTGTCTTCTCAACATTCTGAGAAACGATTTCAGACCTTTTTCTAGATCAGTGTTTAACACGTACATATGTCCCTTTGTCACCAAGAAACCATTCACTAGAACCTGGAGTTCCTTCAGTCCCCTCGCTCTCCCTGGTGGGGGTCAGGGTCACGCAGCAGCATGTGAATGTGCTGCGTGACATTGCATTGTGGGTGAAGGGCAGTCCAAATCTCTTTGTCCAGAGGACCCACGCCTTTGACATGGAGTTTAACCTACGGTGGAGAGCTGTGGCCCAGGTGGCCCCCAGAGCTCGATGCTTATTGGCTGGTTTTCAAAACCTGGCCTGACTCCATTGTTGGGGGAGTGGGAGAGGGGCACTCTCCTGACCGTGAGAAAATCCTGAGGTCAGCATGAGACTGTGACTGGTTGCCACTTTGTCTGCCACCGTGGCAACCAGATGTGAGGGGTGGTAGCCAGGGCAACCTGTAATCTGCATTTGCGACAACAGCTGCACAGTAGATTAGCCGTGCGTGTGTGGCAATGGTTGGTCGGTTAGTTTGGACAAATATTCATTTATTAGTGCAGTTATTTCACTGTACCGCGGAACAGGAAGTGATGCGAGACACACTGGAGGTGTCTGTGGCACGGTATTGTGCAACTGTGTGTGTCACCAAATCTTTCCTGTAGCGCGTTGGTGCGTTTAGCTCTTGTAAATGGCCATGATTACTTGTTGTTCGTTCTTGTTCCGGTGTGAATTGTTGGTTTTGTGTTGATGATAAACGCTGAGAATTGTCACATATTGTTGTCGTACAAAAGCAGAGCGCTGCCAATACAGCTCTTGATTAAACTGACTGTCTGTCTGCAGGAAATTCCAGATGTATGAAATGGTTAGTTTCACAATGAAAGGCTGTACTTTTCAATGGTGAGTCACATCAGCAAGAAGTCACTTTCAATGTGCTGAGAGGTGTGATAATACATGAGGGCAGTGGTTTTAAACTGGCGGGCGCCAGAGCACTCCAGAGTAGGTGAAAAGAGGGAAAAAGAAAGGTGCAAAACGAATGCTAAGCTAGCTACTAGCTTGTTTGTTACATGTGCAGAAGCAGAGCGACTGTATTTGTACATTGATTTTCTATTGTGGGCAACTGAAAAGTCCAAATTATTTCGCTACTCAGTTATTGCCGCTACTGCTTCAAAATAGACGCAGACGCACTGAAGTCGACTTGTTACTGCAGCTTATCTGCCGCTGCTAAAAAAACAGCTAGCCTAAACACTAGCATTCACTTGTACGTGAGTTTATATGAGTAGGGATGTTGGGGCAGTTATCGGGCAGTTATTTTGGGGTATTCTAAGACTCTAGGAAACATGGGTTCCTATAGAAAGTAAAGCGTCTGTGTAAAGAGCTCATTTTGCCTGAACGGCTGCGTTAATAAAAACAGAGTAACCTTTCTGCTGTGAGCATCATGGGCAGGGACTTACAAACATTTTGGTTCTGTGAACATCGTGGGCAGGGACTTACAAACATTTTGGTTTTGTTGTACAGTTAAAAAAAAAGAAAAAACCAAGAGAGGAAAACAACATGCTCACAAGTATAAAATATAAAGACGAACAAGAATCTTAACAGTTCATTGTGTCTCAGTGCAGATGATGTGGAAGAGGAATTCCCTTTACAGCCCCGGTGTGGTGGTGTGGTGGTGGTGACAGAGCAGACAGGAAGCTGAGCCTAACAGCGTGCACCCATTCCCTTTCTCCCCAGATACCGCAGAACGGCAAAGTTATAGGTGGTGGACACGGTGTAGGTGAGCTACGGAAGGGGACAAGCAGAGACAGGAAGTGTCAGGACAGACGTTCACTCAGAGGCTGTGGAGAAAACTGGAGTGCATCCGATTAACCGTTAATGGCAGATGCCAGCTGGGTAACATTATCTGAAATGGCTGAGTATAATGGACTGTACAGTTGACATGACTGGAAATGAGCAGACATTACAGCATTGAGATGGTGTTTGTATCAGCTGAGAGGGAGGAACAGAGAGCGATAGTACAGCAGTCATTAGTCATGGAGGCCTGAGATTCCTCCACCACCTACACTCCGAGCGTCACAAAGTCACATGAGTCACAACACTATTGTTGTACTGCGACCAAGGTCACCGCCGGGCTGCGTTAAAACGGCCCGAGGCACGGTCACTTACCAGAGCCAAGAGAGTGATGCCCGCTCCGACGAAGGCGGCGATGTAGAGGTTATAGGCCATCTGGTACTGAGGGGAGAGATTGGCACGAGTTGGTGAGGGTCACATGTCCACTTGGGCGGACTATTTGGGGGGATTTGGGGGAGACGACAACACGGCAGATTCATTCCCTACAGTTCTCACCTCTTCAGTCTTGCAAACAGTCAACAGGGTCATTCCGCAGGCCTTTCCTGGTACTGCGTTCCATGGTAATAGGCCTGTTGACAACAGCAGCATTTCATCAGTTAAATGTGATTTAAAAGTAACGGAAGCTGGGATCTAGGATCTACGGAGCCCCTAAAGGGACATGGAAAACAAAAAAATGAAACCTTTCTAGTGAGCAGGAGAAAGTATCTCATGCTCTCTTTCATTGTTGTTTTTCATGTCCCTCTAGGGGCTCCGTAGGGATCTGCTAATATTAAAAATAAAATGAATAAAGAAGTATCATCATCACCATATTGCCTGGCATCAACACAGAGCTGATTGATGCTCGCCGGCGTCTCGGTCAGAACGTCAATGGTGTGGCAGGTGGAGGCCATGTTGTAGAAGTAGTAGACGGGCAGGGCAGAGGAGACGAACACCAGCAGCCACAGCACGGCCAGCGCGTATGTCAACACTATAAACTGCACACAGAGAACGGGGCGCGGACGTTACGCCGCTTCGTCTTAATAAAGTGTCATTTCAGAGCATTTTTACGAGCAGCGAAGCGGTGACTCGGTTAATGACCGACTTTTTCCACTCATTGACTTTACTCATTATCTCGCTCTGTTCTCCTACTCTCCACCACCCCCCCTCCACCCTCCCCCCTCTTATCTTTCAAAGTTCCCAAAGGTTCAGAGTGATATTTCTATTAATCCCAAAACAATCTCGACAATCCCCCCCTTCACTTCTCCTACTGCGGGCCCTCTCACCGAGGAGCTGAGGCAGCGGCCACACATGGTGCTCCTGGTCTCTCCAAAGGTTTGCTTGGCAGCGCTGGTGGTGTAGAAGCCCTCTGCCAACAGCACAATGCAGTAGAGGAAGAAAAAGGAGGCCAAGCCGTAAATGACATACTGGAAATATAGAATGCTGGGAAGGAGAAAGAGAGGGGAATGGAAAAAAAAAAGACGAATTCAGGTTCAGAGAGAAACCAGACCAAAGCAGTGATATGTTTAGAAATGGACTGAAATGCTGAATTTATTTCCTCACAAGTAGGCGAAGGTGTCGTAGTCCTGGGGGTTACGGGCGAAATACTGCGCTACCAGTCGCTCTGTCTCTGTGAGGGCCTGGTGCCCGCAACCGCAGAAGAGGGCGATGCCAGAGAAACACAGCAGCGTGGCCACCAGGGAGCAGTATGGCACCCCACCCAAACAGCGCATACAGCAGTCATAGCAACCTGTGGGAAACGTGAAGGTCAAGGCACATTATAACCCGAGTACCTGAGTAAGTAAACAAAAATACTGCAAACGAAAAACACAATAATAAATACTGTATGAGTGGAAAAAAAAACATGTTTTTTGTTGTGTTTGAAATGTTCCAGGTGAAAACGGTGTTTGTCTCGGTCATAAAGAGACAAGATGGTGGACGTCCTTGGAAATCTGCACCTGATGTTTGGATTTTCACTTCACTGTCTTAATTGAAGTTTTCTATTCTCTCTCACAAAATATACTGTATATATATATATATAT